TTTGGACGAACGTTTGGCGGGATTCCGGTGACGACAATCGAGAAGAACTCCGGCGAAAGACAGGTGGCCCTCTCCAGTGACTTTCAATTTTTTTTCGGCGAGCTCCTAACTCGTTGTTTTCAAGAAAAAAGGTGGTCAGTCTATGTGTATTTAATGACAATATGAACTCGTATTTTACTCATAAGTTTTCCCTAAAATCTTGTTCTTCGTATTCACCTAAAACAAAGAAGGTAGCAATAATCTCTTTGTTTATATCTATCAATCATTTATGTTGAATTATGTTTTTTTTCTCGTAAATGGTCATTATACCACTTATACATGCATATGGTACATCTGCTTCAATATTATAGTACCTTTATCATCAGTATTTAATGCTAGTTTGTTCCGGGAAGTTTGATGTTTTATTTTATCCAACTAATTTAAAATTTTATAGTATTGTTAGGGAGTTATTCCTACAATAATGAATTGTTTGTCTTCTCTATACATGTCGGATTAAGTCTTGAATAAATGTACACCCTTTGTTAAGAAGTGGTCGGATGTAAATTCACAATTATTCATCATACGCTGCATTGCCCCCCATGAAAAAAAGAAAGTGAGTTTATCTGACCATGATGATGTGAAGAACATATTTTGATTGGACGTGTGCTGGAAAGTAAGCATTGTAGATATTCTTGCCGTTGAAAAAATGAAAATTGGATCATGAAGTTCAATCCATCTCAATGAGCAGGTAATGTTACTTTCTATGTGAGTAATTATTTCATATTGAAATATAGTATAGTTGTATGATAATCCTATTTCGTTATATTTTAACTAGTTTCATTAGGTACAAATCTTTGTATTATTATTTCATGAACGCATGAAAATCGTACCATATGACGATTTTTTTTTATGGAGAATCTTAATTGTTATTGCAAGATAATTTAAGTGATTCTTGGCGCTATTGCATCAAAGGAGATGGACAAATTTTCAGTGGCGCATTTGAATTTAGAAGGCATGTTAAAAACTATGTGATTGTTAATAAGCGTTCTTTTAAGTATAAAAAAATGATAGTTTGAAGATCAATGTTACATGTAGCGATGAAGATTGCGGATGGAGAATCTATGCATCGAGATACAAAGCAGATCAGTTGTTTGCTCTAAAAGTGTAATCTAGTCCATACCTGCGGAGCGTCCAATCTTCGGACGTGGAGTGCCCAATTTAGATCATTGCACTATGTTTGGTTTAGTCAAATGTACTTTAATTTTGGTCAAGTGTGTTTTGATTTTGTTTAGATTTTTTTTTTTTTTTTTTTTTTTTTTTCGCGACCCTANTTTGTTTTTGGTAAGGTGTATTTTTATTTTTGTCGGAATGTACATTTTCTGATTACACATTTTCGACGTATTTTGAATATGTATTGTATGAATATTCTGCAAGCAATGCTATTGTACATACAAAGCATGAATTTTATATATGATGTTTCATTTTCATATGCTTTTGTAATATGTAAAAGTAGTACTTGTTCCTTCTATGAAGTTAGGTATTAATAGTACTGCATGGGTACTTGAGAACGTCAAACCAGGTAGTGTCGTTTTGCACTAATAGTATCCATTTATTACAAGTTTTTGTTTATTCAATAAAGTGGGTACTGAATGTTAGTTCATGAGCATTAGTGAAGGTCGAAATCAGTATCATCCTTCTGCCACACCATCTGTTTTATAAACTTACAATTACAGTATGTATTCATTTTCAGTTCAATAAATCGGTACAAAATGACAATATATAGGTACCAAGTTACAACAACATTGTAAATCAATTGTTTCGAATTAAATCAGAAATACCGAGTCATACCTTGGAATCAAGAGCAACTAGACAATTGAAATATTCTCTGAACCCAAGGGAAGTTCAAATGTATTCCTTATTCTATGATTAATTTAAAATGTATTCCTTATTCTATGATTAATTTAATTAAGGACTAATTTTTTTTAAATTATTTTGTAGGAAATCAAGAGGGATTCCTTACCATATTGGAGAACGATGACACTTACCTATTTAAGAGAAAGGGACGCACACTAACCTTCCAAAAAGAGTTGAAGCTTGCGGACGGGGCAAGAAGCAACTTACCATATGCGAAGATAGGATATCGCAACAAATGGAATAACTGATAAATTAAGGAAGGTAGCATATTGGAGGAATGTACCTTATGGAGCAGTATATATGAAAGCTTGCACAGACCATCTTTATTACCTACGTCTTAGAGATTAATTTTTATTGTAAGTGTTGTGCAAGTTAAGTGTGTGGGGACTTACTAGAGTGGATATCATTTTCTGTTTATTTGGTAGTCGAATTAGAGAGGTTGTTCTCTGACTCGAGCGTGATTTATTATTTTGAATATTCATGGTGTTTGGAATGAGCACTATCATACAATGCGGGGGTTTCATGTTGTAGAAGTTCAGTAGAAGTGGCTCGAAAAAGAATATGGTTCGTTGCGTCGAACAGTAAGATCATATTATCAGTTCCTTGTAAAATATAAATTAATGGTTCACAGTTTAGACAAGCAGTGAGACCCCTGTTGGATAAAGATTGTAGTGTAGTCTTGATTCAACTGATCTTTGACTGATGGGTTACACTAGTACTTATGATAAGTATTGAACGGACCGCGGAAGGATAAGATTATAATATTTACCGATCACTGTTATAATCTAGACTTTCAGTGATTGATGCGTTCTCTTAAGCTGTAAGATAATATAAAATAGGTATATATATTTAATACTTATTTATTTGATTTAGCAAGGTTGATTGCTATTCTGTTAGGATGACATACTCGATATCTTGGTAAGTAAGAGTATTTATATGATGTGCCGTTATAAATTATTTACAGTCACTATGTCCTAGTGCGCTGGGTTGATGACGTCCCAGAAATGAGCTCATGAAGGAATATTATGTCAAACTCTGCAGGTGGATAATTATCCGGCATAATGATTAATGAACTAAGTGGTACTAATTTCGTAAATGAAAGAAGTCAATTTAATTTAATTGTCAGTAATTAAATTAATTGATAGACGTTATATCTTAAACATAGGGAGATAAATCGGTCAATTAGATTAATATTTATTAATCATTTGGAGGTTTGATTTATTGAATAAATTGGAGCTAAATGGGGAGAGCAATAATATTACTGTAGTGGGATGTTTTATTATTTAATTCTAATTAGGATTTTAGGAATTAATTATATTCCATAATTTAGATTCCATTAAGAGAGGAATATTCTTTCTAGAATATTACCTAGGGTTAGGAGACTATGGAGTCTCCTAGAAGGTAATAAAGGTTAGGAGGAATAAGACTTCTACATTAGATATGATATGGAGCATGATTAGGATTCCTAAGTCTAATGGGATAAGACCATATTTAGCACCTCCTTAAGGTCCCTAATGGAGCCTATAAATACACCATGTCCCAATCTCTTCCCCTATTATTGATCGAGCTCGATTTTAAGGTTCCCAGTTGCGACGCACCCAGACCACGTACCAGGTCCCAGTTGCGACGACCCGCGACGTCCAGCACCACCGCGCATCACCTGCACGCCGCACATCACTACTGCCCGTGTTGATTGCGCCTCGATCCCCTGCACGAGATAGCACGCGCCTGCTAGACCGTGCACACCCGCGTGGTTCCACACGCCCAGCGCCTGTCCGCGTCGGCATAGGAGACCCACGACAGCACTGCACGCGCCCGAGATCCCAGCACTTGCCTGTGTCTGCTCCAGCACCAGTGCGTCCCAACCAGTGCCAGACGCGACCCACGCCGCCTGCCAATGCCTATCCGCGACCAGCGACACGATCGAGACGTGACCGAACCAAACCGCACCGAGTCCAGTTGCAGCCCGACCGAGTCAACCCGAGTCTGACCGAGTCGACCCAACGAACCTACCCCGATCTGGTGATCCATTCGTGATTCAGTGACTCGATCAGAATCGAGAAAGGACAAACCAATTAGCCCATCAGGTTCTGGTAATCATACGATCTCCATCATAGAAAATCAGAAACGTCTCTAAGTGGGCAAAATTTTTAATCGGTAATTTCCTAACCTTAACTATAGATTCCGCTGCGTTACAGTTTGCTTTGTTTAATTTGAACGTGCATGTTGTTGTCGTTCCTAATAGAACCCAACCTGAAGTGAAGGGAGACACCGTGGCTAGTTACCGTACTGGCATTCATACGGTCTTACCTTCTTGACTAAGAAATAAGACAATGCAATACGAATAAGAAAGAAGTCAATCTTCTAAAATCGAAAAGAAAGAATCGCGCGAAAGAGCTTTCCCTATCAGCTGTAACTAGATAAGAAAGAATAAGTCCTGCTTTGCTTATTTCTCCCAAGTTAGGAGCTCAAATGGGATGGGAAAGGGGGCAAGGATCTTTCCAGGTTCAGGCTTGCGGAGCACAGGAGCGCTTGTTCCTACGGTTGTTTAAGAAACTCCGACCCAGCATCACACGTTCTCCAGGTCCGAAGGGATCCAGTGCCCAACTACCGGCATACTGAGTCCACTTTCCAACCCCCTTCAGGTCGTATCGGCCTTTCTAACTTCGAACTTCGGATTCCGCGTCGCACACTACCGCTAGCTAAGCTAATCGTTTTAGTTCCCTTCAATTAAATCAATAAGCTTTTTTTTTATTGATTCAGAGCGCCCTCTTGGGCGGCGCTGCGACGAAAGGGTGGAAAGAGTCAGAAAAAAGTTGACACCATAATTTGTGCAACAAATTGCACAAGTCGGGCTCAACAGACAGCCCGGTCAGGCCAAAATGCCATCAAGTTCAATGAGTAACACTGCCATGAAAAAGTTGGCACCATAATTAGCGCAACAAATTGCACAAGCCGGGCTCAACAGCCCGGTCAGGCCATACCACAAACGAGCTCGACAAGTGGCTCGATCAGGTGAAAAAGTTGTAGCCATAATTACCTAAGTGCGAAAACCGTACAAGCCGTGATTAATAAGAAGCCAGACCGAATTAGAAAAACACTAAAACTCTTGAACAAGTGAAGTTATGCCAAGTTCAAAACTGAAACTAAAGTCGAACAACCGGAGCCAATTTTTATTAAAAAAACAAAATTATTTATCGCATTTTATTAATAACGTTCAACACGTACAAGATGAATAAGAAATTCATTCTATATAAAAGTAATGCATTCAAAAGAAACGTTCAAAACGAAGCACATCCGAATATATTCAAAACAAAGTATCACGGATCAAAACGACATGCTTGCCAAAGTTGTATGAAACAAGCAAAAAGAAAAAGCATTTACAAGACCACATCCAGTCACAAAAAACAGGGCACGCATGCTCGATAGATAGAATTTTCAAGGAGCCGAATCCGGGCTCGAGGAGTCCAGGTCGACCACAGCGGTAGAAAACTTTGGGTTGGCAATCGAGGTAACATTGGAAGGATGCTCCTGGCGATCGACTTTTGAAGTGTCGGCTTTGTCGTTGGTCGCCGACTCAGTTTCCAAGTCACAAGCCCCAAAAGCGACGTAGCCTACTATCCGCTCCTCGGGCTTCAGGCGTTAGTTATCCGAAAGCCGAGGGCAGAAATCCTCAAGTCTGACCACCTCGTCGTCAGCCCAACCTTTTAGTCGGCAAACCACTGTGGCCTCTTACTCGTCAACCGCGCAAACCGCATTCTCAAGGCATCCCTCAATCTGGTGTTTCCCTATCTTCCTGAGCATTATCTCCCGAAAGTCGTTGAAGATCAGCAGTCCATGCTCAAGACGCTGGAACAACAAGTAGAGGTTGAAGGCAATCCCGGACACCATGTCGGCCTAGATTTCCCTTAAGTACTGCACCTGGATGTCAGGATACGACAACGACGGGGGAAATGGAGCAATGGGGTCATCCTTTCTCTGGCCTCATCGGTGAGGAGGACGACCTGGGCCATCAGTTTTTTGGCATGCGCATGAACCACATCCAGTTCCTCCTCATGTTACGGAGGTCGGCCACCTCAGCTGCGTGCTTCTTCTTTAACTCGGCCATCTCGGTCGCATGCTTCCCCTCTAATTCAGTCGTTCTCTCAGCCCAAGCCATCTTCTCCCTGGCCAGCTCATCGAAAGCCCGGGCCGCCTCTTCTTTGGCCGTCGCGGCCTCCTCGCGCTGGAGAATGAGCTCGCTCTTCAGAACGGTCACTTGCCCCACCTTCTCATTGAGGGAATAAGTCCGTCCCTCGCATACTTGGGCCTCTCTCAGCTTCTTAAGGTCCGCTGCATTCTTCTGCACCCGCTCGACGGCATGAACGAGCTCGACCATCACCCGAGACATGGTCGCGGCGGAGTGCTAGATCTGCTGCGTTGGGGTCAGCATGAGGACAGCGGCCTCGGCAGTTGTGGTCCAAGACAACATGGTTATCGCGCGTCCTGCTTCACATGGTCGTGCAAGTGATGCTCATTAGGCAGGCTCACCTACTCGGCCGATTTGCCGTCGACGAACCACATATCAGGGAATCCGGAAAGATCCCTGAGGAAGCGCACCTTTATTTCCGGGTTGACGCAAATGTAAGTCGACGACCCGACCTGATGAATGTGAGCCGACGACACACGAGTGAGGTCAGCACCCTCGTCCTCGACAGCCCTCGGGGGAAGGAAGAGGTTGAAATATGCTCGACCAAAGGTCAATTACATCGAACAAAGTGAAGCAAAGTCATAGTGGCTTTGAGACGTGAGTCGAAGAGGGCGAAGGAGGTGAGACTGAATTCCGAGGGTGCCTAAAGGTAGAATCCCGTGCTGAAATGAAAATGCACGTGTTGCCAACACGCTTCGAAAGCCACCGATTAGAAGACCAATAACAGGGCTTGACGATCCGTAGTCCGACCCAACGAACGAAGTGCGAAACGAAGTGAAGAAAAAAAGAGATGTAGTAGAGGAGGCCTAGCAAACTACTGCAAAAGGCATATGAATAAGAGTGACATGCGTTAGGGGACGTCGGGGCCACGTTTCTCCTTATCGGTCACAACCGGCTCCTCTTCGCGAGCCCGACACCTCGTCACTCAAACCTCGACATCCGGCCCGCGCTGGCCATCCCCTCGACCGGGCTCAACACTGCGGCCACTAGTTCAGCGCCCTCGACCACCGACCCGACGTCCCTGAGTGGCACCTGAGGTCGGCAGTGCAACATTCTTAGCGCTCGACCACCGACCCGACGTCTTTGGGCATGGGCCTTCTTTGCCCTATCCATCAGCATGCACATTATGCTCGCCATTTCCTTTTTTCTCTTGGTTAGCGGACCTGGGTTTGCACGAGCGTGCTTATTCGCCTCCTTCACCAAGGAAACCAGCGAAGTCGAAGAAGCGGGTAATAGACTAAAAAATAAAGTCAAGAAAACGCAATTACGACATAAGGGATACCAAATGAGACTCGACTCAAAGTGAGAAGGCGAGCCAAAAATAATACCTGGGGCGAACAATTTGTTGTTGAGTTCGGGACACAATCCGAAGTCGATCAAGCTGCTCTCCAAAATGTTTCTTATAAGTCCGATCGGCAGGGGAAAGGGCCAGCAAAGTGTCGACCTTGGTAGCAAGCTCCTCACTGGTAGCCAAGCTCAGATTCCGAACTGAAAACAGAAACACCGACCTGTTAGAACAACGAAAAAAACATGAAATCAGCAAAGTGAATAATGGGGAAAACTTACTCTTTCCAGTTTCAAAGTGAGTCGAGGCGTTTTGAGAAGCATCCACAGTTCGCCACTCGCCGCCGACCCAAAACCATTCGGGCATGTAGCTGTGTAGAGTCTCGGACATATCCGCAACCAACGTTTTGTCAATGTTTGGGGACACCAAGCTATAATAATTGCCGGAGTCCCCCGACCTCTTGAAAGTGAACAACGCCCTCACTTTGTCACCAGTTAGGGTCAAACTAGACCCAGCGGCAGAATAAGACATACAGGCCGATTATCCTCGCGAAGATAGTCGGCACCAATTGGCTGATGCTGATGTCGATCTCACAGAGGATGTCGTTTAACGCGCAGACAACGGGAACCAGAGACCCACAACGATACTGTGGCACTAGACTCCTACACAGCCCGACGACGGGCAGTGAATTCGCTCCCCAAGGTAAGGCACAAAACTCGCACCCAAGGCCCGAAGCTGACTTTCCCTTCAGCTGGGCGAGGTCGACATCCCTAAGGACCGACAGGATGATGAAGTCCCTCTGTTCGCTAGGCACCGCCCAGACGCGGGGAGGTCAGCACCAACAGCATGGAGGAACGACAGTAACCTTCCCGAGCATAGAGTCTATACTATTGTCGTTCCTGCCCCTCTGGACTCGCTCTCGACCCTGGATGTTGCCCTGTAGGGCCTCGTCGACAAGGTCCCTCAGAATCATCGAGGAAAGTCACGTCGACCTCGTCTTCCACGTCGTCTTTAGCCGATTGGTTTAGATCAAGGCCACCGGCCTCCCGTAAAAGGGACCTCGACACTTTCTCCTCCTCGCCTCAAAGGGAAGCTGTTTCTGCCGCTGATGGGGCTGGCCTGACCACCAGGATCGGTGTCGCATAAAGCAGCATGGTCGCTGCCGCGGTTGGAGAATAAACCACAAGTTTACTGGTCACGGTCGTCGCATCACCAAAAAAACTAGGGTTGTCGCCGGAAGAACCAAAATCGGTCACGGATTTTGAAGCTGATGACATGAATGAAGGAAAAGAAAAGAAAATATAAAACTGAAGAGTGAAATTACCGAAGAAAAAAACGCCGAAGAAGCTCTTTGATTTGCTCAGGAAGGTTTTTGCTCTGGAAACTTGTGTGCTGAAAAAGTTCGTAAGGATAAAAGTTTGAAAAAACCCAAAGACCCTCTACTTATAGAAAAGGCCAACCAATCATGAGATTCCACATATTCGATATTTAAAATTCGAAATTCAAAAAGATAAAACCGTTCACCTTTTGGCGGTTACATAATTTGATGCGACGGTTGGGTAGCCTGCCACGTGGGTGACAATAAAGGCGGCACACCTTTTTAAGTAGAAAAACCAGGCGTCCGATGCACACCACATTTAATACCCGTCCTTTCGACTTACGTCATCAGTGCGCAAGAGTGTCAACACGGGTTTGAACCACGCGCCCATTGAAAGACGACCTAACCAATCAACTCGGACCTGACTATCAAAAGGCGACCTAAAAAAAATGTCGAGGACCGTCCATCTGAGCTCAGGGGCCTGTATGTTGACATTCGAGTTGAATCCTGAGGGACCCACAGACAAGAAAAAAAAAAAAAGAAAAGAGTGCCAGCAACGCACCTGACAAGATTATCCCCCGAGTAGGTGAAATTCATCATTCGGACGATAACGGCCTTGACGTCAGGTCGGCATCTGGGTGGCAGGATGTCTGGACTGAATAGAGGAAAAGGTCGGCATCTCACGTGCGCATTTAATGCCTGACAGGTAATTATTAGTTTAACCTCAAATCTCATTTAATGTCCGTCAGAACGGCGCCTGACATCTGTCAATCCAAATCACTGTACGAAGTGACGGGATGAACAGTACATGACAGTACCCGATCTGTAATAGTATAAATAGACAACCATCTTCATTTATTAAGGGTTGTTGAACAATCTGCTTACTCTCTATCTCTACATTTACTCTCTACACTATAACAAAATTTTGTAATTAGCTAAAGTGTGAGTGCGCAGCCGACCTCACGACAAGAGGCCGACCTCGCCTATAAAGCAAATGAAATTTATTCCTTCGTAAATCTTCCTTTTTTCCATATTTATCAATCCTTAATCTCAACTTAACCGTTGACCGATTCCGATCGTCAACAGTTTCGATTTACATTATTTACTATTACTTTCAATTAAATTATTTAGGTTCGATGTCGGATTTATATTTTTATATAAATATTATTAATTTCTTCAAACAAAATATAGAATATAAATAAAAATAAATAAAAATGCTAAATATATTTTACATAATATTTTATTTCAGTTATTTTGGTTATTCGGTTCATTTTTATTTTTGTTTAATACGACAGTTCAACCGATTCAGACTGCACAATATCAACCAAAACCGTGCACAATATGTTTAGAAGAATTGCACATCAATGTATGTCAGACTACATAACAACGACTTAACTAGAAACTCTAGTTCAAATAATTATATTTCAATTCGATTATTTGTCTTTTTACTTTTAAAAAAATAGATATTTCTACTGAAAAGAAACAAGAATATAAAGTATTAAACGTACACATAAACGTATCAAAATATCGACACCAACCGATTAACAATATAGTGTATAAATTGATCATTTTTTCAAAAATATGGACGCCAACCGAATACACGTTTAATATATTTTTCAAATGAAAATATATTTTTAAAATATAAATACTATTTTATTTCAATTACTTTAGTTAATTCGGTTTACCAACCAAGTAATAAAATTAATTCGATTCAGTGTTAATTCAGTTTGAGACAAAAGTTCGACCGATTCAGATTGCACAATATCGACTGAAATCGTGCACAGTATTGTTAAGCGAGTTGCAGATTAATGACTGTCGTATTGCATAACAACAGCCGAATTAATTGTTTTTGTTCGAATTTTTATTTTTTATTAAGCTTGTTTGTTTTTTACTTTTGAAGCATCGGTTATTTGTAGCAATAAGAGAAAAGGACATAAATTATTAAGCAAACATATAAAAATAACAAAATATTGGCGTCAGTCGTTTAATAGTATTATGTATACATTAGCCAACAATTTCATAATATCGGCGCTACCCGAATATGATATATTTTGTCAGAAGTTAATACTAAGTATATTTTTATAATAAAAATAATATGTTATTTTAGCTGTTTTTGTTAATTCGATTAAACAACCAAATAAAATATTAATTTGGTTCAACTCTAATTTTATTTGAGACAAAAGTTCAACCGTTTTGGAGTGCACAATATCAACTGGCATTGTTCACAATATAGTCAGACGAATTGCAAATTATTAGATATCATATCAACATGTATTCGATTTTTATAGTTAAGTTCGAATATCTATTACTTACTTTCAAAATTTCTGTTCCTTCTAAAAAATAATATAAATTATTAGATAAACATATACAAATATCATAATATCTTCATCGACCGACAAACAATACTGTGTATATAATGACCGAATCTTTCAAAATATCGGCAACAATCGAATACACGTTTATAAATTGTTAATCGATAATACATTTTTCAACCCATCTAATACACATTTAAAAAAATGATCATTCAGTTTTTTTCAAAAAAATCAAATTGCTTATTTTGGTTTTCCAAAAATACGACTGATTAACAATATTATACATTGTGTATTTTATTTTAACATCTAATTTGCATGTACACACACTATATTGTGCATTATACTTCACATTATTGTTCATTATTATTTTTTTGTTAAATTATAAATATTGCCCATAAACTGAATTGTAATGAATTGAAATTTCTGAAATTGTAACTAAATCCTTGAGACTTTTATTAAATGACTAATTTACCTCACATACTAAATTGAAATATATTGAAAGTTAATAAATTGTAATTAGATTCCTCAAGAATATCAAACTTTAAACAAAACTGAAATTTTCGTCCATAATCCTCAACCCCCAAACACATTTTCGGCCGTCTTTTTCGACCAATGCAACCGCCATCCTAGCCTCCGAAGATTAACCCCCCGACACCTTCATCCTCTGAATCTCGACGATGAGTGCCGCCACCGCCGCCGACCGAAATGGTGGGTGTTGCTGACAGCCTGAAGGTGCGTGTTAGATGGTTTGTTGTTCGCCGATAGAAGTGGTGGACTGATTTGAGGAGATCTGGCAAGGTCAGGATGTTGGTCTTTCCGTCATTGACCCTATCTATGTTTCTATGATAGGGTAAAATTCATTACTATCAAGAAATTTGTCCCGCTTGATCCTACTCTTTCGCTTATAGTAGTAGTCTAGTAGTTCGAAGAGTCCAATTTATATTTCACCTTGGGAATACTCTACCCTCCGATGACCGGCCCTCGCGAGATTGAGGACGCTGGTGATGCCAAGCATGGTTGTTGGCAGCGGATGGATTGGATGCTGCAGTGGGTTGGTGAGGACGGAGACATGGCAGACGGGCTTGATAATGTGGCTAACGACGGCGGGACTGAGAATGCGACTCACATGCAGTGACGCTGGCAGTTGCATTTTGGGCTGGAGGAGGCGACGAACAACAATGGTGACAAGCTGGTGGCTAATGCTGAGCTGAGCACGCAACCGACGTGCGATTGCTGAATCCGATGAGGCCGTGAGGCGTGTGTGTGTGATATATGTGTGTGTGTGTGTCTGTGTGTGTGTGCAGTGTGTGAAAGTGTGAGAGATAGAATGTGGTTAGTTGGGTTGGTGGTGGGCCCAAGGTGATTGTGTAATGTCTTTTTTATCCCTAGTGAGTGGTCAAATTTATATATTTGACTATAAAATGTACATTTATTACGAAATTACCATCACATGTTTGAATGCTATATTAAAAATTCGATTTGATCATAACCATTGATATGTTGTGTCTAAAGGTCTAAAATTATTTTTATTGCTTTCACTATCCCTCTTTCTCATATGATCCACACTATATATATAGGGTTGGGTTCAAGTAAGAATGGTGCTCAATGAAGGAAATAAGAATAAATCGTAGCCATTGGATCAGATGATCCATTGGCTAAAAAAAAGTCAAAATTATACCTTCATGAAGGGTATTTTGGTCATTACTTTTACACATTACTAACACATCACCATGCCACATCACCCACCCCACACACCTAACACATACAAAACACACGCACACACACTCTGCACACACACCCACCACACACACACTGTACACATTAATCACACACACTGTACACAATACATTAACACACATACACTGTACATTAATCGCACACACCTACAAACACACACACACACACACACATATACACACATACATACATACATACACGTATATACATGTGCACACGGTGTGTCTCAGCTGCCACCGGCTGTTCTCCGCTGCTGTCACCGACCGACATCCTCGCCTGCAACAGACTGTGAGCACATCCACCGTCGAACTCCTGCAACCGCCAACCCATCTGTGAGCTCCTCCACCGTCGACCGCCTCTTGCCACCAACGTACCTGAATCGACCGCCGCATCTCCACCAGACACAGCAGTGCAGCCAGATGCGAAAGAGCTCCGACCAGTTGCCGTCCTCCGCCTCCACGATGAAGCTCCGATCGTTGCAGTCGCCGCCGACACACTCCGACAATAGGTCGAGGCCGTTGGGAACCCGCCATCAAACATTGCAAAACTCGCACAGGTCGCGGCGGCGGCGGGAAGCGCCAAGACGAACGTAAATGTCGCTGCACCCATGGATGTCGAATGTCGGCGACCGGAAAGGGCTGGGCGACGGCAGGTGAGGTGGTGGAGAATGAAGATGAATTTGGAGAGGTGGTGATAAAATCTGAAAATGGATTGTAGGATTAGGCATATTTTTTAGAATTACAGTATGTGTAGGGGTCTATTTGCAATTTTAATAATTGTAAGTATATTTCAATTTAACCCATGTGCCATATCTGTAATTTTTGAAAGATAATAAAAAATTAGTTTTTTATATCTTTTGTTATGCATATATATTAAATAACAAACGAATTATTAAATAACAATAATGTAAACTATTAAAATAGTATAATTTTTTTTATTATTATAAAAAAATTATATCATAAAAATAATAAATAAAAATATATTTTAATTATTTAAGTTAATTTGATGCACAATTACATCTATTAAATAGCTTTCGAATACACGAAATTTAGAGCATCTCCAATGCAACTTTTGACATTATAAAAAGTCATCCATATCACCAACTTTTGAAAGTGTGTCTCTATTTTTTTCTCCAATGCATCTTGTCATGATCTCTTTCATGATGAGGTGGATGTCATTTAATGTTGACAATGTTGAGCACACTTTCTAATATCTAACACCATGTTAAACATGATGACTCATCAATTTACTTTATATTTGTTTTTATTTTTTATTTTTTTTTGTATCAATGAATTATTTAATTGGTCCACCTATACAAATAACTTCTTATCAAATTGATGCATTGGAGATACTAGTTCCATTGAAATTTCTAGTCTTTTAACATTATTCCAATGTGGATTAACATTACAATTATTAATTGACATGTGTTAAAAATAATGGTCTTTCACACTTATAGTATTGGAGATGCTCTTATATGTGAAGGTAACAAATAGTGCACATTATATAGCGGAATGTTGCACCTTATAAAACAAAATGTTGCACTTTATAAAACGTCACGTTGTACCTTATCAACACACTCCGCAATTGATGTCAACAGCTCCCGCCAAAAAATATTACGCAATATAAATCTAAAAAAACAGATATACATAATACTTTAATATCCATCACATCATCTATCTACAAAAAACACAAGTATGCGAACGTATTAAAAATCCAGCATTGCACTTTATATACCAATACGTTGCACTTTATACATAAATATTTTGCACTTTATAACACGAAGTATACATAATATTTTAATATTCATCACATCATCTATCTACAAGAAACACAAGTATGCGAACGTGTTAAAAATTCAGTATTGCACTTTATATAACAATACGTTGCACTTTATACACAAATACGTTGCACTTTATAACACTACATGTTACACCTTATAAAACAACATGCCACGCGTTCCAAAAATATGGTAATCATGCTAATCGATCGAATAATATTAGTTGGTTGAATGCCGGACTTAGTCATTTTAAGTAAATAAAATAACAGAACATGCCGAACTATATGAAAAAGCTTACCATTTTTTTAATGAAAAAATAATACTATTTGGTATCTATATTTTTGTATATATTGCGAGTGCACCTTATGGTTATACGAATTGCACATAGACTTCCAGATTACACAAAATTGAACGAGATCCAACAAACATAAATTCAGTACGAAATTTTATATTTTTTATTTCGAATATTATTACTATTTTTGTATATATCAGATATTTCGGTGTGACGTGATTTTTTTTTTATTTAAATAACTAGCATAAAAACCAAACTATATTAAAAATATATTTTTCTATATTTTTCTATAAAAATATTAAGCTTTGATTGTCTATTGAAATATAAAAAATTATTCTAATATATTATATGTATTATTGTGTATGTATTAAACTTTCATTAAATTATCAATTGGCCTATGTACTCAATTGAAATATAATAGAATTTCCAAAATTGCAATTAGGACCCTAAAATGAATCAAATTCTCAAACAAATAACTCCAAAATCTCAACCAACACAGACACACAGAGGAGAGAACCGAAGCTAGATTCGGCCAAAATCACGGTGGTCATTGGCGGCCGTCGATGGCCTGATACTGTGCCGCCAACATTCACCGGCAGCTTTCTGACGAGCGACCAGGGAGTTCGCTGCTGCGACGTTACCGGTGCCGGCATGAACGGACGACGGGCGACAGAGGCTGGAATCGGTGGTCGGGCTGGACGCGACGACCGCGATGTTGCCGGTGTCGTGGTGGTGACGGAGACGCGCGGCATATCGGGCTGGTTTGTATGGCGGCTGTGGCTGGATGTTAATGGTGGGCTGAGAATGGCGACGCCGTGCAGAGAAAGTGCGACGGCAAGGTGAGAGACGGCGACGACGGTTATGCAAGTAAAGGCGGAGGGCGGCTGCGCCAGCGAAACTCCGATGGCCGGTAGGGAGTCGCGACTGGATGGTTGTTGGCGGAAGGCGGCGGCAATGTGGTGGACTGGCAGCCGGTCTGCTGGAACTCTGTGTGTGTGTGTGTGTGTGTGTGTGTGTGTGTGTGTGTAACACGTTCAGTGCGTGAGGGTGAAGAAGGGAGAGTGGTTGAGGAAAGAGAAAATGTGTGATGAATTGATTTGGTGAGTGGGTCCCACCTGATACATGTGTATTGACCAANATATATATATATATATATATATATATATATATATATATATATAAGAATACCTATTTACTAAAAATAGTAGTAAAAAAATTTGGAAGCATTTAATGTATACCTTTTTCTAGAAACTTTTAAATATATACATTAATTGCTTCTATGTACATGTTTTCAAATAAGATCAAATTAGATATGGCCAAAAATATTGTTTCCTTAAATAATTTTATTAATATCTGCAATAATTTCTTTGATATCCATTATAGTAAATCATAAGATTGATTTTCCATGATTCATGTTGATAATATTTTGGTGAAGATAAATATTACAACATATTTTAAGTTTTAACCATAATATTAATTTTTTTCACAAATATTCATTTTTTATCCAAAAATATTTATAGAAAATCGTAACATGTTAGGTAGAATATTTTCTTCCAATTAATCAGGAGAAATCAAGTTGGTGAATTAATCTTTGACAATGTAATTTTTCTTAAGCTTTATTTCATTATACATAAAAAATAAATTATTCTTCAAATTAATATAATTTACCATTTAAGAGATAATGACCATATACATTAAATAGTTTTACTAATGGTAAAAAGTTAAAATTGAAATATATTAACCGTTCTTTAGAATTTATTTGTATATTATTGACAACCATGATTATTTTTTTTATCATTTTTTTATTTAATTTCTACTATAATGAAATTTTTATAAAAAAAAATTTCATTGCAGATTATGCTAAATAAACTACAAATACTAATAATGAAAATTAAGAAAATCTTGAATATAATTGAATTTTTGGCATTTTCTAAATCAAAATTGTTTAATTAGTATACAAAATTAAATTCTAAAAACACATGTGTATATTTTGTAAAATATTTATACAGTATTTACTTTTTAATTTATTTATATATTTTAAATTGACTACATAAATAAATAATATTAACGTGCATTAAATATTTTTCATTACATAAAATTTAAAGAAAAATAAGACGTACAACTTCTATAACTTTTATAGATAATAATGACATTATATGACACCAAAGTTTACAATAAATGAATAACTAAGTATTATATGGTGAACAAGAATAAGTAAAACTGTTATTTTCTCTTATATCAAGGAATAAATATATATACTAAAATTAAATTTATATTAGTATAAATGTGTTAGTGAGATAATATATTAAATATTTTACAAGTTAGTCTTAACATGTTCATATTTAATGTTCTTGCTAAAAAGACAATGTTGATTAAAAGAGATGAAAAATAGATTATAACCCTATTACTTTTTAGACTTGGCGCTGATTAAAAGAGATGATAAAACAATAGATGATAAACCTATTGCTAACTCATTTTAATAACTCTGTCCTACGTACTAATATAATATAAAGAAGTGGACCATACTCATAATAAACAATTAATAATTGAACAAACGCATTGCCAGCGGCAAATTTTCCTCAACAACCACCTCTTCCACAATATCTTTTATTGTTTGCATTTAAGTTCATTTAGTTCTAATATCACATACATGTTACTTTTTTTTATAGTTAGGTGTAGTGCATGATATAGAATTCAATCCTCGTGAGATCTTTCCACTGGATACAAAATACTCCCTAAACATTTTTGTGGTAAACCCTAACGTGATACATCCTAAATATCAATGTTCAGACTCAAATTAAGCATCATATATCATATATGATAAAATGACGGTGTACATTATGATATTGGACTATTGTAGTTGATGAGTTTGTATAATGAAAGGTTTCGTTTCAACTTATTTTCATTTTAAATAAAAAAATCATGTTTAGTCAATGTGTTTGTATTTTGTTTTATGTATGAATTTGCAACTTATCATGTTATTGACATTGAAGATAATATGGTGTATGTCGTCGCACAAGAAATTATACTATCGGTTTTTGCATAATACAAATAAGGTTAGTAACCAAGATAGGAATGACAAATATATCGGTATGGTTATAATATAATTTGAGTTACTTTATTTTAACTGATGTATTGAACTGGACCATGAAGAAGAAATTTATTTTATATTGACTATTAAACAAACCAGATTTCATGATATCACTCGTACTTTAAACTCGAATGATAATACGGGAACATGTATCTAATAATTATATTTTTAAATCATCAAAGGGTGTGACTTATTCGTTAAGTCAATAGGCTCGACGAGTTGGGGAGTACTAATAATTACATGGTGTGTTTGACACGCGTCACATTTACATTCATTTGGAGTGATAGACTGTTATGTTTTGTCGTGTTTATTATTGGATTGTGCACTATTTTGTTTAATTTATTACTCTATGATAGATGTATTCTTCTCCCTTAGTTTTTGCAAAAAATATTCACGAAAAAGCGTTAAAATTAGGGTGGGGACGAAAAATGGTGAAAATAAGGTGTAGAAGAGCACACGCGACACGTGTGATGAAGACCATAGGTCACACGAGTCGTGTGGCGGAGGGAAAAATGGAATTCACTTACAGCTTTTTCACACGACTCGTGTTATATGTGACACCAGTCACACGAGTAGTGAGTATGCGAAAGTAGAAATATTTGAAATTAAAAGCCACATGACTCATGTGGCTATCACCATTAAGTCACACGAGTCGTGTGTCGTAGAGTCCAACCCATGAGGAATTGGAACTTTTATGCAGTTTCTTCTCTTTTTCAACATATATTCGACCTACATTATAAAGTAGAGTCCTAAGGAACTTGGCCAGGGAGACTTTTGACACTTTTGGAGGCCGAGAAAAAAACACAAGACGCACGGGCGATCCGAAGAAGTCAAGATTGAAGATTGAGAACTAAAGGGCGACAATAGTGCTTCTTTCTTTTCTCTTTTTCTTCTTCATTGAACTCATGTATTTATTTATTTTAAGATTTAAAGATATATTTATTAGCTAAAGCTCTTTTGGATTCTAAGATTTGTAAGTACTCAGATTATTTTACGAAGTTGTTTTATTTATTCATTCCGGTCTATCTTTCAGTGAAGTCATAAAAAAGGACTATCCCATAAAGAAAAAAATGTTTCTTTGTTAATTTCTCATGCTTATATTTATTGTGTGAATATAGAGCCCGTATTTATGCATATTTGTGATTGATTTGAAATCGAGAGGAGATAGCTGATTGCTAGAATTAATAAATTGATAATGTAGGAGATTAAATAGACCGAGAGGTTGACAAAATCTTGCAAGGGAATTAGAATATTAGGAACCAGAGGAGTTAATTGTTCATCATTAGACCGAGAGGAGAGATATCAATTAATAAACAGTTTAGCTTACTCGAGAGGGAGGCTAAATTAATGTAGCGACTATCCCTATGATTGGTAAAATTTAATAAAATTTGAATGAATAGAAAATATTTGTATAGAATAATCCCGAGGAATAATTAGCCTAGAATATATTTTCTCATTTCTGATTTATTTAGAACGAGCATCCACTAGTGTTAGAAATTATTTTATCGTCATTCATTAGTTTAGAATTAAAACCCCATTCAAATTTGCATTAATCTAAAGAATATTTAATCATCTATATTTTGTCACTTGCTATAACTACACCGTACACTTGCAGATGGCGAAGATAATTTGCGAACAAGTTTTTGACGTTGATTTCGAAGATTGTTTTTGTTAAGTAAATTAATATATGAAGAAGACGAGTTGATATAAGTCGAGTTGATATAAGTCTAGGAATTTTTATTCTTATTGACTTTTTTTGTCTTGGACTCGTTTATCTGTTCATGTCTTGTTTGTGTGTTTTTAGTAGTGCATGATCACGAGGTCTAGTGGGAGCAATCCCACGAGCTTTGACCCCGAGATTGAAGCTACTTGCCGAAGGAACTAAGAAAATCAGAGAGGGCTGAAAAGCGAGATGGAAGACCAAGGGAATCACATGATGAGACAACTTCAAGCACAGTCGGTGGAGCTACAACGGAAAATAGCCGAGCACCAGGCTCATGAAGAGACAAGACCACCGTTGTGGAGCATCTCCACACCTCAAGAGAACCAAGCATACGGAGGAGGCCACGCACCGAGAATTGCAGCTAATACATTCGAGTTGAATCCGACCTTGATTCGAATGGTTCAACAATAGCAGTTTGGAGGAGGTTCGACGGAGGAGCCGAATGCGCACTCAGAGTAATTTCTGGAAATATGTGGTACGGTCAAGTACAATGGAATCTCGGAGGATGCCATTCGACTTTGTATTCTCTCTCTCTCTTTGAGATAAAGGAAAAGTTGCGGTACACTTCTCTTGGAGTCGGAACAATGACGTCATGGGAGGAATTGCATCATAAATTTCTTTTTAAGTTTTTCCCATCGATAAATATGTTGATGTAAGCACCCTCTACTTATATTTTGAAAAAGTACTAAATTTTCACAAGTAATTTCGACTTTTCAAAAATATTTTTAACTTCTTCTTTTGACTTTTACTCACGCCGCTTCAGTTTCCACTCTGGCATGGAAAACATATCTAATTAAGATTTGGTTTTTTCACTCGTGTGGACTACACTTTTCGGGTCATTCGATACCGTGCAGGTGTTGCACGTCGAGCTTTCTACTGCCCATCTCCCTAAGACCATCTTCCACACTCTGGTTTATGCCAGGTGTGTGAGGGTCGGCGCCGATCTATAGAACACCATGCGTGAGATTGCTCAGAGTATGGAGGGATTACCATGGATGGTAAGCGGTAATTTCAACATCTTTTTGCATCCCGATGAGTGCGTTGGTGGCCGGTCGGACCGTTCAGTAGAGATCTAGGATTTCTCTCAGGCTGTGGTGGACCGTGAGTTAATTGACGTGGGCTGTGAAGGTTCTCCCTTCACTTGGGAGCGGGGTGGAGTCAAGGAGAGGATCGATCGTGCTTTGGTCTCTGAGGCATGGGCGAGGGTGTTTGCGGTTACAACCGTCATACACCTTCCTCGAATTGAGTCTGACCATGCTCCCCTCCTCATCCAGTGTAGATTCTCAAGCGCTCCCCGACACTCTTATATTTGGTTCCAAAACATGTGGATTCGCCACCACACTTTTCATGACACTGTTAGGGATTCCTGACTGCAGCCGAATAGGCTCTTCGGAATGCGCAACCTGGACGCCAAGCTCGAGAGGTTGCGATGTAGGTTGAAGAAGTGGAATTTGGATGTTTTTGGAGACCTCTCCCAGTGCCTTTCTGCAACTCAGAGCGCGTATGCTGACGTTGAACGAGCCTATGATATGGACTCCTCTCTGGAGAATAGGAATGCGATGCGCCACTATCACGCTGAGTACCAGCTCCGACTTCTTAAGTATGAGGATTTTTTAAAGCAGAAGGTTGTCGTACACTGGGTTGATGAGGAGGAGTGTAATACCAAGTACTTTCAGGGGTTTGTGAGGCAGAAGCGTGTCAAGTTATATATCTATAGTATCCAAGACAAGGGTTATCCCTGATTCAGGAGTCCCAGATACGGGAGTTGGTCGTGGCGCACTTTTAGTATCTCTCCACATCATAAAGAGAATTGCTTACGGCCCCCAACGCTTATTTCTTCCTCACCATATCTCAGTCGATCGACCTTGTTGGCCTTTGCGAGCTCCCGAGCAGGGAGGAGGTTAGGGAGCCTATTGTGAGTGATCCCAACAGTGCCTCTGGCCCGGATGGCTTCTCATCTCTCTTCTATCAGACTTGCTAGAATCTTGTGGAGATTGATGTTGAAGAAGCTGTGGTGGATTTCTTTTCTGGTCACCAGATGCCGGAGTCCTTCACAGCTACCTCGGTCTAATTGATCACCAAAAAGATCTTGCCTGAGCTCTTGGTCAGATTATAGGCCTATCAGCCTAGGTAATGTCTTCAACAAGCTTATCTCTAAAATTCTTAACGGGTTTTCCCCTCTCCTTTCTTCTCTCATCTCTCCGAACCAGAGTGGCTTCACCATGGATCGAGTCATTAGTGATAACATTGTTTGTCCTAGGAGATGATCCACGACATCTCTCATTTGAATCGGTTGTGAGTCCCAAACATTGCGCTGAAGCTAGACATGGCTAAGGCTTATGATAAGGTCAAGTGTCCCTTATTCAGGGAGGTGCTGGTCCGGATGGGTTTTTTGGTGTGGTGGGTAAGCTTTGTGGAGGCGTGTGTGGAGCACTGCACGTTCTTGATTCTGGTTAATGCTAGCCCCACCGACTTCTTCTTTTCGTCTCGGGGCCTCCGAAAAGGGGTCCACTCTCTCCCTCGCTTTTTGTTCTGGTGGCAGACTACCATTCTTGCTACCTTGACGCCTTCATCCGTGATAACCCGAGGATGACCTACAGCAAAGTGGTTATGGTCTTCCCATCTTGCATCTCTTGTATATGGATGACATCATTATCTTCACTTGTACGGATAATGATGGACTAGTCGAGCTTATGCACCTTCTGGAGCACTATGACTCGGTTAATGGTTAGCTCTTCAGCGTGAAAAAGAGCACCTTCATCCTCTCCCCTCTCATTGCGGATCAATGGGTGCAGTGGGTCCATGAGCGCACTGGTTTCGTGCGTGGCGACCTCCCCATTACCTACCTCGGTGTCCCTCTGTACAAGGGCCATATCACGAGTGCGCTCTTTGCAGATGTCAGGTAGAGGATGATTGATCGGATCTCTGGGTGGTCGAATAGCATCTTCCTTTTGGGGGTCGGGTTGCGTTGATCAAGTGTACCCTCAGCGCCCTTCCGCTTCATCTTCTTATGGTCCTCGATCCCCCTCAATCCACTATCCACGAGTTAGATCAGATCATGACTCGTCATTTATGGGGGCATGGGGAAGGCTCCCGGAAGGAGAAACAAGTCCACTGTGTGAAGTGGGATTTCATTTGCCGGTCTTTTTCTAAGGGTGACCTTCGGATTTGTCGCTTTTCGGATGTAGTCACAGCCTTCTCTTATAAGATGTGGTGGCGCTTTAGGGAGGAAAAGTCTCTTTTGGCTCAGTACCTTCACGGGAAGTACTTCCCTAGAGGTGTCTGACATCCTTGTTGGGTGATGGCCACCGCTCATGATAGTAGATAGTGTAGGCGGCTCACCAGAATAGGTAGGCGTGCCCATGAGAACATCTTCTGGACGCTTGGTGAGGAGTATGTTAGCTTTTGGGATGAGTGGTGGTTTGGTGAGGGGCCTTTTTCGAGCACTATGAAGGTCACTCACTCTCCTTCTCTGTGGGTGAGGTCCCTGTGGTCTGATGGGGCTTGGGATAAGGATAGGTTAGAGAGGGTGTTGGGTACTGGAGCGGGTATTAGTGACCAAGTTTTAGATCATATATTTGAGCGGGTTTTAGATTAGATCCAGCAGATTCATATCTCGGAGGACAGTTCAGAAGGTATGAGGTGGAGACTTACATCTTCGTGTGCATTTTCTATGACCTCGGCTTGGGGGGAAGTTCAGCTGGTGACCGGCCTAACCTTCTCTTCGGGGCCATTTGGACCGATCTGCTTACCCCGACCATCTCTGTCTTCCTTTGGCACCTTCTTCTGCGTCGAATTCCAATCGACGTTGTGATGCTGGCGAGGGGGTTCTTCTTCCCTTCGCGGTGTTACTGTTGTGCCGAGACTGGACATTTCCAGATTGGGACTTTTTTCTATTTGTTTTTAGAGAGCGAGGTTACAAGGAGAGTGTGGGAGCATTTCGCCATTTATACTCATATATCCGTTCCCACTACAAATAGTTTTTTTGAGCTCCTTAGTTTTTTCTCATAGCGCAAACACTTTAGACACATGAGTTTCCTCATTCCTTGTCTTATCCTATGGCTAATCTGGACAGAAAGGAATAGTGCGAAGCATAGGGATATTACTTTTATGTGCTCTCACATTGTTTTGCAGGTTGATCGGCACTTTTCTCTCCTCACAGCTCTAGGTAGACTCACACCTTAGAGACTGGACAGGCTGGCCGCTGCCCCACCGCTTCGTACCATCTTCGCTGCAGCCTGTCCAACACTCACGCCCCAGAGCCGTTGTTTAGCGAAGACCCGACTCTCCTTGGGTTAAGTTAAACACTAACGAATCTTCCGACCGACTTACAGAGCTGTCAGAGGAGGGAGCCTGATTAGAGATCACAACGAAGCTCTCATTACCGCCTTCCACGCCCCTCTTCAGGCCTCGTCGAGTTACGACGCGGAGGTTCAGGCGCTTCAGATCGGTCTTCAGATTGCAGTCTCTATCTCTTCTCACATTTGGATAGAGTTAGACTCTGCCGTTGTCGCCACCCTCTTGACCTCAGACCACCAGAGCTCGTGGCAGATTCAGCACCCGCTCATGCGCATCGAATCCACACTTAAGTCGATTAGCTATCGTATCTCGCACATCTTCCGCGAGGAAAACCGACCCACTGACTTCCTCGTTGCATCGATGCTTCCAGTCCCATAGGCGCATTTTTCATCCAGACGACGACGCTCCTCTCCGCCTCTTGTGCAGATGGACCAAATTGACTACCCATCGTTCACATTTGAATAGTTGTTTTGTGTTAGCCTACTTACTAGACCGAGTATCAAAAATTTAATAAAATAAAAATGGTGTAATTGTAAAGTTAAACTCAGTCTCAGCTCGGTGAGCTTTGCCGGCTTCCGAGACCTGTGAGGGCTCTATAGGAGCGCCTTTCTTGAAACTCTATCGATACTTGCACATTGATGAACTTTAGACCACTCGTGGTGCAGACTGCTCGTCTGGGCACCTGTTAGCCCAAGCTCAGACTTTTCGCTTTGGTTGTTTTTTTTTTTTTTGTCTTTTTCTCTTTTTGTTTTTGTTTTCTGATTAAACGCGTAGACTTTTGATTTTTCAGCAAAAATAAAAAAAATGTCCACTAACCAATGGAAAATTACAGCTCAACTTAGCCATATGAAATAGCCACATTTAGGTCAATAATAATAACATAGTTGACTTCATATTACAACAGGATCACACATGAAGAATATATGGAAGCAAGATTTTAGTAGGCATGGAACAAACACTTATACTCGAAAAAGGGAAAGAAATAGAAATAAAATTGATAACAGACATCCAATTCTTGCAGCTAAAACCGAGCGCAATTGTTTCTCCATACAAGGACGCGAAATAGAGAAACAACATCACAACATACCCCAGGGCTGATATCTGGAGCCAAAACCACAACAGTCCACAAACATTTTCAATTATTTCCTTTTTCCGGAGCCAATTGTTAAGAGCTCAAAGCTTCGAAGAGTTTCATCACGGATGCCTCTTGAACCAGCAGCACGGGTGAAAGATGATGATTTCGACTCGAATCCAGGCTGTAGCCTATGAGTGGTGGATATTCTTCCGAGTCTGCTATGACGATTTTCGCTGGGCTCGCCAGATGAGCTGGGCCTGCTGCTGCTTGATATAACCGCTCTCTTTGAAGAACTACCAGGCCGAGATATCCGACCACGATCAGAATCAATTTGCTGTACCATAAATAAAAAAAAAAAAAAAAAAAAAAAAAAAAAAAAAAAAAAAAAAAAAAAAAAAAAAAAAAAAAAAAAAAAAAAAAAAAAAAAAAAAAAAAAAAAAAAAAAAAAAAAAAAAAAAAAAAAAAAAAAAAAAAAAAAAAAAAAAAAAAAAAAAAAAAAAAAAAAAAAAAAAAAAAAAAAAAAAAAAAAAAAAAAAAAAAAAAAAAAAAAAAAAAAAAAAAAAAAAAAAAAAAAAAAAAAAAAAAAAAAAAAAAAAAAAAAAAAAAAAAAAAAAAAAAAAAAAAAAAAAAAAAAAAAAAAAAAAAAAAAAAAAAAAAAAAAAAAAAAAAAAAAAAAAAAAAAAAAAAAAAAAAAAAAAAAAAAAAAAAAAAAAAAAAAAAAAAAAAAAAAAAAAAAAAAAAAAAAAAAAAAAAAAAAAAAAAAAAAAAAAAAAAAAAAAAAAAAAAAAAAAAAAAAAGGTAATGTTTGAGGCACACCTAGCTATAAATAATAGGCCCCAAAACCGTTTGGTTCGATGCCAGGAAGAATTTTAACGCCAAATGCATACAAGGATGCGTATTAGTTATTACTACATGATACGAATGTAAATAGGGCCGACCGCCGACCCATCATTCTTGTCACATTTATGAATCATGAATTACCAAAAAGTTGTATTTTTCATAACAAAATAGCCCCTCGTTGTGCAGATGGTAAAAATAGAAGAAACTATCAAGTGGATACTTGTAATTTTCAAAGACGGGTTATTTTTTTTGGTAATTGAACAAAGTCTAGAGTAAGATTTTTGGTATGTGAGTAAATTACTCCCTACCACATCTTTACGCGATGGTCCATCATCGAAAGATCTATATTTGGAGGGATCTCCATGCAAGCCTGAGCCAGAACCATTTCTTCTCCCAAATGCCCCCACAGCACCAGATAATCTATCTCGGGTCTCTTGCTTCACTACATCAGATGCATATTGGAGAAATTCATCAGCCATGACCAACTATTTATAATTTCAAGTACACACTAGCGCCAACACACATATTGTATCCACAACATGGCATGCAAGAATACTGCTAATACCGCTGATTACAGAAGATACGAATCAGAAAAGTTCAAAACAAAAATTCCTTTCCCCAAGCAAAATTTGAATTCAATGGTAGATGATATCATATTCAATTAAATATTTCAAGAAAATAGAATAAGATATTATGAGTCAAGCTGACCTGGGGTTTTCTCGGCTCTTTCTGCAGATGATCCCATGTTTATAGGTATCTTCCCCGTTGGCTGCAAATACAGAAAACAAATATGTTCATAGGTAATATAGCTCATTCATGTACAATAATTATCCTGACCCACGAGTAATCAAGTCAACACTGACCAGTGTTCTAGAACTGGAGCCAATCTGTGGATACTTCAATACAGTCCAGTCAAACACATAATCAAACTGATAACCTGCAACAATACTACAGTCATCAACAGGAACCTATAGCGACATTAAAAGTTAGGTTGGTCAGTTTTTAATATAATCCATATAAGAGAAAAACTATAATAGGGGAAAAAATAAGATACATATAGAAAGTGAAAACATCTCCAATATGCTTACCTTCCCGAATAAATAGATCCCGGAAAAGTCTCTTCAAGTATGAATAGTCAGGTTTGTCATCAAACCGCAAGGATCGACAATAATGAAAATAAGAAATGAACTCAGATGGATAAGATTTACACAAGACCTGTCAGCAGTTGCAGATTATGTCATCAGATCAACTATTTTAGATTTGTATGCAGGGCAAAATTAAAATTGTAATTCTTTTTCATGTTACCGGTGTTCACGACAAGCATAACACAAGGTAAGTGTGATACAGCAAGGTACTATACCTCTACGGGTGTAAGCATCTTCTTTTCACTAATCCTGTCATATTTCTGTTTCTTTGTACCAGCTTTCAGTCCCTGCCAGGGAAGGCTGAAATGCAGAAAGAGTTAAAATAGGTTATGTACAACTACAAGGTATTAAAAACAAGCTAAAGCTCAATTTCAAACAATTACATATGCAGAAAATCTAAAGTACTTATACCCACCTTCCTCTAAGGAAGTACATAAGGACATAGCCAAGAGATTCTAAATCGTCCCTTCTGCTTTGTTCTGCAATTAGTAATCATTACTAAAGTAAATAAATATCGTAAATATATATTTCTTTCGGAGAAAGGCCAACACGTTAATGAGCTAATTCTTCTTTGAGACATCAAAAGAAAGGTCCGGTTTATCCTTCTAGTCACAACCATAAGGTTTATTTACCAACTCCAAGATGGGTGTTTACACTAGCATAACGAGCTGTGCCCGTGAGATTTTTATTTTCCCTGCACATCAAAGACGAAGAGAAAGAAACAAGAAAAAATTATTGAAGGATCAAAAGCTTGAGTAGATATCCTTTTTGTTTGCACATTCGGAAAGAAGTAAAATAAAGGTTGGGTTGATATAAACAGTGTATAGTTGATATTGTTTTAACTCCACTACATCCCGCACCAAGGTCCAAAGAAAAATGCAATCGTAGAGAGATTAAAATGAAATAATAACAAAAAATGAAGTACTTGAGTCATGATCAAAGTTAAATCACAAATATTACAATTGGTACGCCTGGGTACCACTCACCATAAAATAACTAATTAAACACCTCTATAATTTGGTTGAAACTGAGGGCCGAATTGTAGTACCCCCTTGACACCCAACCAAGCTGGATGAGCTAACTTTTGTCAATGTTAATTGAGATGATCAATCAAATCACTGTGAACCAATATCTTACAGTTTTCTCAATTTCTCATTTTGTCATATTAAGAAATTCCAGGCAACAATATTGAACTGTTGCTGCCATTTGAGAGCTTATCTAGAAGTCATTGGCAATTCATTTATTCCTAAGTAATTAGCAGTTAGCACATTATCATTGGGGTTTATTGCGCCAAATCTCCCTGTATTTATTCGGAATAGCACGTTTTCCGCCTATATTTAAGAAATGCGTGGAACCACTATTTATGTTTGGCTTGCACGATTACCTCCTTCTAGTCAAAGATAACGGGGGTGTGCAGTACACGGGATGGCTGCTGCAAGTATTATTCATTTTTCATTTTACACAATTTATTAATTTACCACTTCTCCCTTTGTGACATTTATCAGAAAGAATGAAAAGAATGCAGCAAGTGGGGCTAGAATAAGGAACCAGAATCAGTAGGCCAAGACATCCTGATGGTTATTGTGGTAGAACACAAAGTACATAAATCAAAATAAATACATTCGTAAAATAAAATAAAATAATAAAAATAAGATAACTGAAAAAAATAAAATTATCACATTCAAAACACTTAAATACAATAAAATAAAACAAATAAAAATGAAAAATAAATTAAAGTAAATTTTATTTAATTCAAAAGGTTAAAATAAAAAAAAATAATAAAAACATCAGTTAAAGTTAATCTAATTAAATTTTAAACAATAACATAAAATAAATTCATTTTAATATAAATAAATTAAAAAAATAATTTAATTTAATAACATAAAACAAAATAAAGTAAAATAAAATATATAAATTATATTAAATGGAAAATCAAACAAATTAATATAAGACCATTTAAAATAAAATAAAAATTTAACTTTATTCTTTCAAAGAGAAAAATTTATTGAAATCTTTGGTAAAATGACTTTAAATTATAGCTTTAACAATAATTGATAAATAATAGTTTAGTTTAAAGTTTATGTTAAGTGATATTAATTTAATTTATTCTACGTTATCCCGATTTAATATATTTTAATTTATATAATTTAGTCTATTTTATTATTATATTTAGGGTTAATTGCAAATAAAATCTTAACCTTTTGTCTAATTGCAAATAAAACTCAATCTTTTCAATTTGGCAAAAAAATACCAAACCTTTAATAAGTGTTGCAATTGTGTCTCGATCACCTTCCGCCGCCGCCGGACCACCGCCAACTACCACCCGCCGCCGGCCAACTTCACTGAATGTTGAAAATTTTTACATGATCTTGTAGTTCTCCTCCGTGCCGACAACATATCCGAGTTTCAAGAAAAAATTCCGACGATAAGGAGATGACCGAAAAAGTCGTCACCGAAAAAAGTCACCGGTTTCGGTGAAGGTGGACGTCACTAGATGCGACTTTGCGAGAGGAGTTCAACGGTACCTTCGGATTCACGTGGGTCAAAGCGAGTCACCGAGAATTTGCGAAAGAACGCCGAAGAAAATTTGTAGATCTACATGCTTTGACCGGAAAATTGGAAGTCTTATTGTCGGAATTTTTTCGTGAAACTCGAATATGTGTCAGCACGGAGGAGTGCTACAAGATCATATAAAAAATTTCAACATTCGGCGAAGTTGGCCGGCGGCGGTTGGCGGCGGAAGGTGATTGAGACACAATTGCAACGCTTATTAAAGGTTTGATTTTTTTTGCCAAATTGAAAAAGTTGAGTTTTATTTGCAATTAGACAAAAGATTAAGATTTTATTTGCAATTAACCCTTATATTTAATATAAAGGTAAGAATTTATTATTTTAAGTTAGTATTTCAATTTAATTTATTATAAGCTATTTTAATTTAATCTATCAAAAAATTTTGAATTCATTTTAGTTTAACATTTTAATTTAATCTAGGTTATACATATATATTGTGGACGTTGACTTAAAATCAAGTTGTGCCATGGCAGTGATTTGGTTGCTTAGTTATAGAGTTGTTAAACAAAACAAGTCACTCTTGAGATCGGTTTTGTTTAGGCTCGTTAGGCTCGAATTTTCTTTTTTTTTTTCTTTTTTTTTGTAATATTCTATATCACGAGTTTGTTAAGACTCGAGCTCAACACATTAAGGTCGGGCTCAACTCATTAATATCATTAATAGTGATAAACGAACCGAGCTCGAGCACATTTATCGGCTCGAGAAAGGCTTAAGCCCAAGCTCTCGTTTACACCACTAAGTATTAGCTAAGTCGGAGGTCACAGATTCGAGGATCGATCCTTGCACACCAAAATTTCTTTGACAAATTTCTCGCAATATTTTTGGAAAAATAGCAAGGTTATCAAAATCTTAAAATAGGTATAAAAAGAAATTTAAAAAAAAAATAACAGCGTTAATTACACAAGATTAAAAAAAAAAAACGGAGTGTACAAATGGACCCCTAAATATAAAGCGGGTTTCGAGCATTTTTTAAAACACAAGGGGAAAAGCTTAATTTCGGAAAACATAGGGGAGTGGTATATTAACCCTTTTCATTGAAATGGAAAAGGAGGCTTCATGGTAAAAGTGGACAAACATCAGAGTTCAACTTCATGATCTAGGATTTCATTTGTCATATAATGGGATTCCTGACTCAGATACAAATTTAGTGTTCCTTGCAACATCCATTAAATCCAAATTCCTAAAATCCACAACATTCTAATCTGCCTGACAGTTCCAAAACCCAAAAGTAATTTCCTTCAAAGCAACCTAATAAAAGATTTGGTTATTGCTCACCAGGTTAAAGATTATAATTGAACCCACAATTTCCATATAAAAGAAAAGGGAAACCAACTAGAGGGCTAAGTAGAAATCTACAATATTGCTTAGTCCATTTCACATTAGAAGTGTGTGATGGGACCTTTCTTTAGTTAGAAGTTCATCAGTAGACAGCATGAACCTAAGACTTCGAAAGTAAAAAAGGAGCTCCATCCAAATTGAGGGGACTTCAGAAAATATCAGAGTTCATAAGGTTCCATCAATAGTATCTCAGGGAAAGACATAAAATAAGCAAAGGCATCGTCAAAATAGAATCTCCATAGAGATATGGATGAGGGAAGTACAAAAATTGCAATTTAATGATTCTGCCATCAACCCAACAAATATAATAAAAATAAAAAGGAATAACAATAGTAACTTGAAATAAAAAAATGTTCCCTCTCCACCAAAAGAATGCATTTTATCAACATTGTAGCAAAATGTAATAATTTATCATCCTGATCAATAATAGATCACATAACTATTCTGCGTCACAATCTTACACTACTCAAACAAGGTTAATGGTGCCAAAGTAGTGGTCAAGCAAGGCATGCAACAAAAGCTCAAGTATGACAAATTGTGCTTCAAAATAAAATTGCAGTGTAACAAACATAAATCTCTTTTAGTAGTTCCATTTACTTTCAGAACTCCTATAACAGCAATTATACATGTCTAAGTAGTTAATGTAAAACTTCTATTCATGAAACATTACATTGTTTGTTAATACCTGTATGGTATATGCTTGTGAGTCTGTAAATCTCTGTATTTCTTTGCAAGACCATAGTCGATTATGTACACCTGTTGCAAAGACAAACAAAAGGCTGATTGGTTGCAGTTACAGATTAGAGAATGTTTAAGATACAAACAACTAACATTATCCCCAAACCATACATATCATCCTTAATTTCCAAAATAGATTTCCAAGCATAAATGAAATAGGGATCAACAGTATTTGAAAATAGAAACTAACAGGCGCAAATAAGAGCAAATTTTTTGCCTTGGGTAAAAGAAGCATTTGTGTAACTTAGATACTGAGAGATTCATGTATCATTGCTTTTGTTTGTATTTTCATTAAGCGCTTGAATCTTTTAATGTTTGTATTTTCATTAAGCGCTTGACTCTTTTAATATCGGTCTCTACACCATGAATCAGACAAAAAATTTGCCAATCTTTTGACAAATGAACCATTGAATACTGGCACAGTAAAAATTTTGTAACTCATGACACGTTTGTTTTTGGTGCAAGCAAACCATAGTTCAAATTACTACATAGAAAATAAAGAAAGGCCAATTAAGTTCTAAAAAAAAAAAGATAACCACTACCAATGGAGCTTCATATATATGATCCCCAAAAATGACCGCTGAAGTGTATATCTCTTTCTCTTGATTTAGTAAGGTAAGAATCTTCATTTGGAGATATTTTTATTCATGGCAGATATAAGTATTTTAACCGAGTCATGACTTCCTCTATGAATATAGAAGTCCTATGTACTTGCAGTAAACACAGAAATTATCCCTCTTCATATTACACGTGATATTGTCATTAAAACATTTTAAATTCCTCTTTGGCTTAATTCTTTTTTTTTTTTTTTTCCCCANAACATCTGCCACATTTCTAGTATGAGTTTTCTCTCTATTGTCATCTTCGTATCATGAAGCCATTTCGGAAACTACAGTCAAATTAAATATTTCCAACAATCTCCTATGGTCTCATTCATTTCAATTTTTTCTGGGGACAGTAAATTGGATCGTATTTCATCGGACACAACTGGCCATAAAGATGCCAAGTATCCGTCAAGAAGTCATGATGTTACGAGTTAGCAACTTAGCATTGCTTCTAAATAGTATGGAAGAATATGTGACAAATAATATTGTGTTCTTGGATTCAGCCAAATCCATGTGTGGACCTTACAAGATATGGATTCAATGATAAGAATATCTCTCGTGTGTTCAAGTTATAAGAGAAACTTTCACAAGGAACCGTCGATGAAAGAGTCGATGAGAGGTAGTTATAATCACTAAGTATTACTGGACCTGCTTCAGCCTATTCAAGATAGTCTTTAGCCTAGGGACAACATCCCAACGTTGTCAAATGCTATATCGTGTGTGGCACTAGTAACTATCATTGATGTGGTGTTCATATGTGGTTTTTACACCATATGCATATAGTTTCTAGAGCTTAAGTGTTGCATTATTGGTGTATAAATTGCATTATTGTGCTTTGATTATATATTTTGTTGAAAAGGTATTACAAGTGTGTTTTGTAGTTGGTGAACTCTTGGCTATTGGAAGCCACAACGAGTACCTAATACCCCCCAAATGATGAAAGATTGATGCACGAATAAAAAAATGGAAGAAACGAGTGAAACGAGCAAGAAAATGTGCGCATGATTGTGACATGACCGATGGGTGTGACACAGGCCTTCACATTAATGGACGAAAATTCATACCTTCAATCCTGACACGGGCTGGCAATGTTGTGCTTGCAGGTTGGTTTTCTTATCTTATCTATTTTTGAAAAGGAGAAGGCAGGGTACAGTATAAAAGGCATATTTTTTACCATATTTTAAAAGGGAGAAACATATTAAACAAGATAAGAAATCCTAGAATACAGAAGACAGACAATTGGGTATAAAATCCAACAACGAAGGATAGACAAGAGAATAAGCCTTAGAATTATATCACACAAGGGAGGCAATTGGACATAAAAAAAATTCAACTACGAAGGAGTAAGGACATCGAGAGATATCGAGAGATATTTTTCTTTTCTACTTTCCTTTGAAATTTTATTTATCATGTCAATTTCGAACATAGATTATTTTGATTATAGGACTTAGAATAGATTAATATGTTGGGATTTTGAATGATTTGCTATAATTAAACATTTTTCTTTTCAACCATATTCGAATATTTTGTTCGTTTAGCAATTGATTAATATTATTACATGTTTGACAATATTCTTCATAATTCGAGAGATGAGTGTCTTTAATGCTTGACACAATTTATTGCTTGAATCAAGAGATTGGTAGGTGATTGTGAGGATATTGGATTTTTTCTTCCATTGGGAGTAGAATTGCATATATTTAGTGTTGCCGATAATATATGTGATTTAATCTATTGTTTTATTATTCTTGAGTGAGACAAACTAAATTTGTGATTACAGAAGGACCAAGAAAATGTTTGCGATATTTCTGAAGAAACCTAATTGAAATCATAATCTTGGAATCTCTCATTCTCATATATTTCTCTTACGTGATTTTAATTAATTCTTTATTCTTCATTTGTTTTTATTTTATTTTATTTTCATAGTTCAGTTAATCCATTTGATATTCGATTGTCTAAAAAAAAAGTTGACACTATCATAATCTAGTACTTGTTTAATTATTTAGTCTCTTGGGATACGACCTTGCGTGCCACATACTACAAGAGAAATTGTATACTTGGGGCCAAGCTTTAAAAATATAGGCAAACATGTAGTCATCCCATCCCAACCACTTACCACTTACCACTTACTACTAAGCAATTGCAACATATGCACAGTTTAACATTTTCTTAACATCTGCTCAACACCTAATATATTATCCTATACATCCTTACCTATCCCACCATTCATACCTCCCTGTTTAGCATTTGGTTATCCCTATTATATTCATTATTTATTTAACTTTAACCCTCGACCTGCCAATGCATCTTTTCAACATATAATTAAACAGAAAAATAAAATTTTTGTTTTGACCCATTTGCTAAACAAAGTAGCACAATCTTATATTTTTAGAAGCAATAGTACTTTTTACCACATGTCCAACACCCTAATACTAATTTTACTACTGTTCCTTTGTTCCATCCTTTGCATGTTTACACAGGCATTCTCGAGCACGAGCACCTGATTCATGTACTTTACTTTTGTCCCATCTTCTAGCAACTTTCAAGGTTATTTGTCGACCTAATAGTGATCTATCTATAACTCTCTCAGAAAAGTACAGAGATAATCGTTTCGGCACCATGTCTAATTTAATTATCTCGGTCCTGCTTTCCACACTTGCATGTTTTTAACGAAAAGGAAACGAATAATAGAAAAGGCATAGACTAAAGCATTTCTTTCTTCTTTCTATGAATAATAGAAAAGGCATAGACTAAACATGCATTTCTTTCTTCTTTCTATGAAAACTATCATAGTTAACATCAGATGACAGAGAAAGAATCCCCAGAGGGGGAGGGTCGATGTAATTGAGCTATTATTCCATCATAGATCAGAGCAAGATCGCGATGAAAGATAAATGAATGAGGAAGTGGGAGAGAAAGAGCTTTATCCTCATTGTAGAAAGAAAAAAGAGGATAGGAAAAATGTAGTTTCGCGCTCTAGCTCTAACCAAGAGCGAGTTCCCAAAAGTGTCTATTTGAACTAATATCTATTCACCTGCATTGCATTTGTAACAGCACATACAACAAGCCGTTAAAATCCCACTAAGTGGGGTCGGCAATATTGATCATATGTCGCCAACGTGCTCGATCAAAACACTATCCTCGTTCAAATATAAATATTTTAAATCATTATTTATTGTTTTTTCTTTCAAGTTTTCTTATGTCTATCCCTTCTCCTTTTAATTTGCGTTTTTAATTCTCTTGTTATACCCTTCTCACCGACGCCTCAAAGTCTCACTTACGCACATGCTCAAACCATTTTAATCGTGATTCTCTCATTTTCTCCTCCATGGACGCTACCTCAACTTTATTTCTAATATTTTCATTTATAATCTTATCTAATATGCCCACACATTCATCTCAACATTCTAATCTCTGACACTCGCATTTTTTATTATTTTCATATTTAGTAGCCCAACACTCGGATTCATAAAGAATCGTCGGTCGAATGGTCGTTCGATAGAACTTGCCTTTCCACTTTACAATCACAAAGTATCAACGACGCGCTTCTCCACTTGTTTCATCCCGATTGAATTCTATGTATTACATCCTTATTTATGTTGTCATTCTAGAATAGAATGGATCCCAAAAATTTCAAACTTTTAAATGTATTCAATTCTTGCTTCCTAATTTTAACTTTTACCCCCTTATTACTCCTTTGCTTACTAAAATTACACTTCATATATTCCGTTTTTACCCTACTTATTTTGAAAACCTTAGATTCAAGCGTCTCTCTCCACGTTTCTAGCTTAGCATCTACCCTTTCTCATATCATCTACTAACACTATGTGATCCACAACATGGATGACATCCAATTGCAAATGTTTCGTAAGTTCATTAATTACTAATGCAAAGAGATTCAACGTCTGATCCTTGATGCAAACCAATAGCGATAGAGAATTCACCCGATACCACCTAAGACAAGTTTTCACATTATTATTCATATCTTTTATGGTTTCTATATAACCAACACACACCCCCCTCTTTTCTAACACTCCACAATATACCTCTATTAATACTATCACATTATTATTCATATCTTTTATGGTTTCTATATAACCAACACACACCCCCCTCTTTTCTAACACTCCACAATATACCTCTATTAATACTATCATATGCTTTCAAGGTCAATAAAGACCAAATGCAAATTTTATTTTTTCGCATTAAAATGTTCGCAAAATCTCTATTACATAGCTTCGAGCCAATTGGTTTTCCATTATGTTTGTTTCTTGCCTTAGTCTAGCTTCTACTACTCTCATAATTTCATTGTGTAACAAATTAGTTTTATGCCTCTTTAGTTTACACAATTTTGTATATTCCTTTATTTTCAAACAAAGGTATTAATGTACTTTTCCTCCATTGGTTGGGCATTTTCTTACTCTTAATGTGAAACAAGTTCCTAAATCATTCAATTCCAAATTAACCAAGGCATCTACATGTCTCTATTGGAATATCATCGGGACCTACGGCTTTGCAATTTTTAATTTTTTGCATTGCTTGCTCTACTCTTTGATTTGGATTTTTTTATAATATGTGAAATTTTTATATCTCTCACTTTACCATAGTTTTAAATGGCGAATGGCGACCATAGCCTCGCCACGAGGCGAGGCAATTCGCCATGGCGAGGCCTCGCGAACACAAGCCATCAATTAAAGAACATAATATATATATATAAGTTTAAGTGCCAAAAATAATCTTAAATATCCTAAATAAAAAAGAACATAAATTAAATTTAGTTGTAATTACTAAAAACATCTAAAACTTTAAAGTGAATTCTAGTAATAAGGTAAATAAAAAGTGTACAGTAAAAGTAAAAGAAAACGAAAGAAAAGATGCTACACCCTGTCACCTTTGACTATTGACAATACTAATAAACAAAAATAAAATAAAAAAATGAAGAAAGAAGAAAAAGATTGGCTGCATAAACAGGAACGAGAAAACAGAGAAAAGTGAGAAGGAAAAGAAAGGAAAAGGCACACATGAAGTGAAGAAAGAGCTTGATCTGTTTTAGTTTATTCTCTTTCCAAAAAGTGGCACACGCTTTTCTTTTTTTTTTTTTAATGGACATCGCCTTTAATTACTGTGAAAGGCGCCGAGGCGCGTCTCACAGTCACCTCTCACCATGCGAAAAGGCAAGCCGAGGCGACCCGAAGCGAGCGCCTCGCAAACAGGGTCGCCTCAGGCAGTGGCGAGGCGATGTGGCCCTCGCCTCGAAGCATCGCCATTTCAAACTATGCACTTTCCTCTAATTCCCCTAGCGATATTTCCCTACTATCTACTTTATTATATAGTTTATGAAAATAATCTTTCCACCGATCATTTTATTTTTTTTATCATCAACTAATATATTTCCATTTTTATCTTTTATGCATTTAATTTCCGTTAAGTCCTTTGTCTTCTTTTCGCTTTGCTTTGCAATTTTATAGATGTCATTTTCTCTCCTTAGTATCTAATATCTTACAAAAGTTTCCGAAAGCTTTTATCTTTATTTTAGTTACTAACTTTTTCACTTCTTTTTTAGCTTTTTTGTATTTTTCTATGTTTTCATCACTCCTACACTTGTATCATAATTTGTAACACGACTTTTTCTTCTTAACCTTTCTTTGAATGTCTTTATTCCACCACCACGATTCTTTAGTACACTTGCTACCTATAGAAACCCTTAATTCTCTTTTAGCAATTGTTTTTATCTCTTTACTTATCTATCCCATGTTTTATTTGCTTCTTTCTCCATACTCCAATTAATGTTTTCAAGCAAAGTCTTAGTAAGTCTTTCCCTTTTATCTTTGTTATCTATGTTGTTATTAAGGCTCTACCACTTTATCCACATACCACGCACAAAGTTTTCTTTTCTATACTACCATTGTTTTCAGTTTGCTACGCTCAGGTGCTTTAATTCATTCAATATATCATGATAGCTTCCAAGGAGATATAAGAGAATGAAATGCAAAAGTCCATATAACAAAGGCTCCATCAGTCATCAACTACCACCGCTAAAATCAACACTCGCTAGCAAGTCAAAGTCTAGATGTAAACCACATAATCAGTTCTATCATTTTTTTTCTGACAATACCAACTTCAGTACTATCTAATAAACAGCGTTATCAAATGGTGGCCATGGCAGCGTATGGCGTGGCGGATTTTTGACAATCCGCCTTGCAAAATTTGTGAAGGATGGTAGTCATGGCGCCGCCATAGGTCGCCATGGCGGCCGCTAGAAATTTCGGCAAGCCGCCATGTACAGACATTAATAACATTAATGAAAGAAAAAATATTTACATTGCTTTAAAAAACAGTACAGGTCTTGGTAGTGAGAAAAATAATATCTAAGTGCAAAAACAACAAATAACCATGTATACAGTATGGACAAAAGAGAGAAACAATGCTCGAGTCACTACCTGATTAGCTTTGCGTCCCAAACCCATTAAGAAGTTATCGGGTTTTATATCTCGGTGAAGAAATCCTCTAGAGTGCATGTATTCAACTCGATTTATCTACATATAAAATAAAAATGAGTAAAAAGCAACACAAACAACCATATAGGTAATCTTTTAAAACATTGGTGGCTTACTTACTAATTGATCTGCAAGCATTAGGACTGTTTTCAATGTGAACTTCCTATTGCAATAGTTGAACAAATCTTCTAAGCTTGGTCCAAGAAGATCAATAGCCATGGCATTGTACTCGCCATCGACTCCAAACCATTTAAGATGGGGAATCCCAGCTTCATGAGTGAAAAAAGCCTTTAATCAACTCAGAGCATAACTAAACAAAGAAAAAGATAGTTCAAAAATATTCATACGCACTTCCTCCCTGAAGGAGCATGTACAATTTTGATTCATAGTGAAGCTGGGGGTGCTTAGTTTTAGCAGATTCCTGCAAAAAATAATTTGAGCCTTCAGATGATCAATATACGAAATATTCTAAATAAATTCAACATACATGAACCTTGATAAGATAAAAGGTTTCATTTTGGTATCACCATCACATACGATAAAAGGCTCCTTCAGCAACTAAAGACCTAAAAACTATTACACAATAGGATATGTGTATACATAATACAAAGAGATGCCTTGATCAGAAACTCAAATATTCTCAGGTAATAGATTCTCACCAATTTAACAGCAACTTCTTCTCCAGTTTGTATATTTACTCCTGAATGAACAAAAAAAGAGTGATCTTTTTATACAGCTTACAACTTAATCACAGAAACAGAGGAAAAATAAAGGGAAGAGAAATTATGAGATGCAAATGCAGATTAAAATTTACCCAAATAAAGCTCTCCAAAAGATCCGCTGCCAATCTTTCTCCCCAGCTTGAACTTGCCGCCAATTACATGATCCATAGTGAAATTTCTAAAAATTAATGAAAACCTCCAGAAAAATAGTAGCCTTTGTTGATATTTTACAATGCACCACTTAATGAATCAATGATACTTCATGGCATCCTGAGGCACGAATCAAAATCACAAATCTGCGCACCCTTCAGATCCATTTGAATCGCATCAAAGAAAATGAAAAGAAATGTGAAAAAATAAAAAAGAAGGCCGACAACGGTACTCCCAGAAGAAAATAATGTCCCAAAAATTCCCAAATGGAAAATGTGACAGCTGCTTCCAGAAAAGTACTAATACACAAAGAAAAATAGTATAAAAGTACCAATGAATTAGGGTTTCTCAATCGATAATTAGAAAAAAACCGACGGGAATTTCAAACATTTGGATACAGAAAATTGACATCTGGTGCTGAAGAGTGGGTTAAAAAAGGAACCCAATTCTCCTTCTTCATGTGATTAAAGAAAAAAACGACGAGAAAGACTTTTTATCCAAGTAGATATCGCAGTGATCTGAAATTGAAAATCAATACTATATGGTGTTGGAATGAATTATACGATTATCTGGTAAGAAATCAATATACGATTAATGGAAATGGATGGTAAAAACTAAGCCGCAGAAAAGAAATAATCTAAAATAACAAAAATTGCGGGGAGAGCATTTTGTCTAAAGATTCAGCCATTCAGGATCCGTGTAAGGAAAGGGAGAGAGGCCGGGGAAAAGGGTTGAAGGAAGAAAACGAGAGGTGTTAGATATCTATACTTATATAATAAGAACTAGTGCGTGGCCCGCAGGGAAAAACAATATTAAAATTGTATTATAAATTAAATATATAAATAACATTAATCATGATATATGTATTGTTTTTACATTAAACCAGGTTGGACACAGTTCGACCGGATGGACGGATAACCAATTTATAACTAGTCTAGTTCACTTGAATAAGATATTTGCTTTTGAATCCGTCAACACCAGTCGGTTGGATTTGTAGGATCGAAACGATTTTTTAAATAAATTTTATTATATTTAAAAATTATTTTAAATAAAATTACATATTTAAATAAAATAGAGATTTATAAATTATTTATCAATTAGTTTAAACATTTGAATTTATAAATTTTTTAAATATCTAAGTAACACATTTTGTTTAAATTTATTACAAAAAATACTATATATATATATATATATATTAAAATGTTTATAAATTAAAATCTGAACAAACCACAAATGATTTAATAAAATAGCTTGATCGTTTCGATGACGGTCCAATTCTGAGAACCTTATATTTAATGTATATTAATAAATATTATAATAAAACGCTTTTTTATTCACATAAATATTAATAAAATGATATATAAATATTCATAAATCATTAAACATTTTATCATAAAAGTATTGTTAATACGATTATTTGAAATTTGGACTACATCACATTCACGTAATAAAATATTTTCAATATAAAATTTATATTTAGGTTCAATAATCGATTTGTTGTGATCGAACTGATTCAAAACTTAGTCACCTGGGACCAACCAAGTTGTGTCAAGTTTTTTGACTATTTAAAATATCACCTAAAAGTAATTCAATCAACCTGGGCAGTACCCTAATTCAATCGCCTGATTGATCCGAAGAAATTTTTTTATTTTCTTTAAATATATTTAATTTTATGAAATAAAAATATTTTATGATTCATATAATAAATGTCTATACCAAATGGTAGTATATTAAGATAATAAATTACATATTTTAAGATGAATTAATTATTTTTACTTTATGCATATTAATAAAAAATAAACATAGTAATTTTCAAAAAATTAAGATTAATTGATTGATTATGCAATTTAAAGAATATTTTTAGCGTTCAATTTTTTTAAAGGCACAAATATAAAGACCGAGATTCTAATACTTTTGTTATATTTTGAATTGAGATTTTATAAATATAGAGACCGAGATTTTAATTTTGTTCGTTGTTTCTAAGAAAAAAATAAAAATAAAAACATACACACTTAATAAATCTTAGCCGAATTTTTTAAATAATAAAATGAACTATAGCCCGAAATTTAAGGTAGCATTTAATGATGTATGAATTTTAAAGAAAAAATAAGAAAAATAATAAAACTTACTATTTATAGACTGCATTAAATTCTGACCTATTTTTTTGCTACTATTTTTGGTAAATGTTAATTCTTATTATATATATATAGATATAGATTAACCTTTTTCAAAATTAGTAGGTCAATTCTTAGTCAACATCTTGTCTGCATTAAATGTTTACTAAAATTAGTAACTTTTATGTCCTTTTCACACTTTTTCTTTATGTCCTTTTCACACTAGATTATATAAATGAACGGATATTATCTCACCTTTCATTAATCTCACCTATAATTCATGTGAATTGATTGATTGCCTTTAACTTTTCAAAACGTGTGCTATCCATTGTTTATTACTATTATTATTATAGTATGCACGTAATCAGTTGATTAAATAAATTATATATTATTATTATTATTATACTCACCACGTGACAGTTAATTAAAATATATCTATACTTATATTAAAAGGTATATCATTTACCAGATTTAATATAAAAAAAAAGTCAACAACATTTATTGCATTACTATTTCCGTATTATACAATCTATACTTATAGAAAAAGAGATTCTATTTACTATATTTACTATCCAGAAAAGTCAACTGCATTAAATGTCATTACTATTTTGGTATTATAATATTTTATTTATTTAATTGTTTTATTTATTTGTTTTATTTTAAAAAGGTAAGTATAATAAAAAGATTTTAATAATAAAAAAATCAAATACCAAATAAAAATGTACACTTTGACTTATTTGATTATATTTGGTATTTGATTATACCAAATATATTCCTATTTAGTATATACATTAAATACTTACTAAAGTATTTGTTTGTTTTATTTGTCAAAGTTAAGTATAGATTTGTTTATATTATCAAATCATAAAAAAATATTAAATCCATATTGTAAAAAAAAAAAAAATCATATAATTTTATAACAATTCTACTACACTATTTAACAATATTTTTTTTTTATTATATAATAAAATAATAATTAAATATTATATGGTGAACAACAATAAGTAAAACTGTTACTTTCTCTTATATCAAGGGATAAATTTATATGCTAAAATTAAATTTTTATTAGTATAAATGTTTTAGTGAGATAATATATTAATTATTTTACAAGCTAGCCCTAACATGCTCATATTTAATGTTTTAAAAGATGTAGAAAAAAAAATTATAATAACTCTATTGTTTTTTAGACTTAAACGTTGATTAAAAGAGGTAAAAATTCCTAATTTTTTAGACTTAAACGTTGATTAACACCATAGATTGAGAGTTTATATTTAGTAAAATTCCTAATTGTAATAAAAAAATTAATTTTTGCTATATTTTAGAATATCTTTAAATTCATTATAAAAAAAAAAAAAAAAAAACTACAATGAAAAAAGCAAGTCAGCTATATATCGATTTGTTGTACTCCTCAAATCACATTCACAATTTGGCTACAAGAAAAGGAAACTCATTGATTAAAATATTATTTTGTCAGTAGTCTTAATGTACAAGAGACTTTAAGACTCCACTTGAATATTATACAACTTTTATTGAACATTGTATAATTTTCTTGCGTATTATAAACTTTTATTGAATATTGCATCTTATAATATAATATTCTCTAAATAAATATATCTCGTGCTTTGCACGGGTCACGTACTATATATATTCCGTACATCTTTCTTTATTCATGTATATAATTATAAGCCTAGATAAATAGCCTTAAAAATGTACATCCCGTGCATCGCACGGGCTCTGTACTAGTTCTATATAAAGTATAAACAAATAGTTTTAGCTCATTTTGAGAAATTTAAAATTTCTTGATTTTAAAATTTTTGAAATATAATTTTTTTTACTTACACACTCTTTGAATTGATGTGTTAAAACTATTATAAATTAATTGTGTAACTCGCACTGATGTGTTGAATTGTGGTGGTGATAAACATGGTCGTCAACGGTGATAAACAGTGGATTTCAAATGACTAAGTTTGAGGAGTCATTTAAAATCCTTCAAAATAATGACTAAAAAATATCTAGCATGAATTTGAAATCATTCAACTTCCATTACCATCCCAACATGCATGAAGATTTGAACTTGTAAATTTAAAATCTATGGATTTCAAATCCCTCAGTAAATCCTTCAATCCAAACTTAGCCTTATATTATTTATTTATTTTATTTATTAATTAAGATATGTATTAATATGAGTATTTTTATTAGCGAAGATCTAAAACTATTAATTTAAATTTTTAGTTTATATTAGTTTAAGTTTTCGAAAGATGTATCAATAATTAATTTGGAGCTTGAAAAATAAACTTATGACTCAGATGTCGATGTTCTTGACGTCAACTGCAATCAATTACGAATTTGTGGGGTTATAGTGATTATAAAATAACGACCTCGAAATTAATAAGATTAAAGGTGAGCACATCGAAACAATAATATGTGTTGTGTAAAGACCTCCGACCAACTGAAAACGACTAAATCTCGAGCTTGATCGTCGGTTGAACACCTTAGGGCCTACAGAACTCTCACACCGTAGGGGTTTTCGGGTGGAGCGTCTGAATCTTAAGTTAGCACTTGTAAAAGATGAAGTGCAATATAAGAGTATGTAAAAAGTGTATTGCAATTCTGGGCTTACCTTACTCCCTTATATAGAGAGGATACCTTGTTGCCCAAGCTGGGCACGTGGGTTGCCCAGACTAACCGTTGTACTGTCCTAACTGCCCCAACTGCCCAATTATGTTAGAACACGTGGTCATATCCACGTGGGAGTTTAATCCCCAGAATATTCATTCTTATCCTTTAGTCTTATTCATTAAACGGTCTAACCGCATGCCTGCCCGATTACCTCGACGTGGAGTATCATCGATGTCGAGCTCTGCTGTTAGACCCATCTAGTCGATCCTCCGACTAGGTGTTCTTCCAGATCGAACTTCGACCTGCTGGTATCCTATGGAGTCTTCACGGATATCCTCGCCGATATCCGTGAGGGCTATGAGAAATCCGAGGGTACCACCGAAATCTTCTCGACGAGGCGAATCTCCAGCTACCGATCTTCGCCGGAAACTACCGTCAGCCGCCGCCTCCGCCTACGGCCGCCGTTAAAATTTTTCGATCGGAAAAATTCCTATGTCATTGGGAAGCTCTTCTCGTGCTCGTTCTCCCCTTAAAATTTCAAGCAAAAATTCCTCCGTAAAGGCCGTCAATTTGCGGTCAAAGTTTTTGGATCTAAGATATTTTTTGTCAACCACCGATCTTCTCCTTTATTTTTCTAGCGATTTCGGGAGAATCACTCCAAGCTGAGGACACCATAGGATTCTACTCACCGAGACGCACTCTCCGCCGGTCACTTTCGCCAGAAACGGCGAGCTTTTGCTGACGAAATCTTTCTGGCGAATGGCAGGCTGTCGTGCTCGCAGCTTGACCATGGCGGGAGATGTTTGCTCTCTGCTCAGCAAGGAAGAGGCCCGAAGTTCTGGCCCAGCGTCGCGATCCAAGAGCCCAGGTTAGCTAGCCCGCCAGAGTTCGCAGCCCAATAGAGAAGGCCCAGTCGTTGCCTAGCGAAAGAGGCCCAGAGTGGATGGCCCGAGGAGCCCAGATCCTTTTTGGTCTAGCACGCGGGTCGCACGCCAGCCCGCTCGGCCCGCTCCCCTCAGCATGCAGCCCGCGCTCCAACCCGCTTCAGGCCCGCGTCCAACCCGCGTTGTGGCCCGCATCAGCACAGGTGCCTAGCCCGCGTAAAGCCCATCCGACCCGCGTTCTCTATCCTTCCACCAGGCCCAACATGGAGAGGCCATGCGTGTCTAGTTAGCCTAGGGTGGCCCATTTTCGCCCTTTAATGCCCTCAGAGTGGCCCAACAAGCACCAAATTGCTCTAGCTCGAGTCTAAATGGTCTAGAAGTGGTCCAAACCGGCCTAGCTCAGTCCAACAGCCCCAATTCATGCCCAAGACTAATTCGGGAGGATTCAACACGGTCGGGAAGGTAAATTTAGGTAGCATCGTGATGAATGTACGACGCTCATTTAAATTATGGACCGGAGGATTTTTAATTGGTGAAAATGGAAAAAATTAATTATTTTATTCGTGGAGAAATATTTAGTTTATTCATGGATAATTATTTGATTATTTGCGAAGATATTGGATTTTTTCGTGAAGGTATTTGGTTTATTCGTGGGAATGTTATTTGTTTTATTCGGGGAATTATTTGATTATTTGCGGAGATATGGGATTTGTTTGTGAAGGTATTTGGTGTATTTGTGGGGATGTTATTTGTTTTATTTGGGGAATTATTTGATTATTTGTGGAGTTATTTGATTTATGCATGGAGAATATTTGGTTTATTTGTGGAAAATATTTGCTTTATTCGTAATATTTGGTTTATTCGTGGAATTATTTGTTTTATTCGTGGCGAAATATTTGATTTATTCGTGGTGATTATTTGATTAATTCATGGAGATTATGCGGTTTATCCGTGGAGAATTATTTGATTTATTCGTGGAAATTGATTGTTTATTCGTGGAGGAACATTTTAGTTTGTCCGAGAAAAAATTATTTGATTGAGGATATTAAGTGATTGTGCATAATAAATGTGCACTGTGATTTCGAATCGAGGATATTATGTTATTGTGCTTATTGTGTGTCCGGTGTATTTATCAATTTTCCATCGGTGAGCTTGAGGACATGGATTAAATTTGCATAATTGGATATCATGATATATTTGGACCTCTTATATGGATTTTCATGTGAAACTGTAGAATTTTGTTTGATATGATTATTCATAATTTTACCCGAGCATGTCTTAAATCAAGAAGATGGTGATGTTTGTATTCGATCTCTTGTATTTCTTGCGTGGAGCTTGGTATTGGGAGTAATTCATTTGAATTTTCGTTTGGTGAAATTGTTTAAGGGTTGTTCGTATCTGAGGAGTATGGTTTGTGGTAATCGCTTGTTGAATTCATAGTTTTGTAGAATTCTGGTCGATGTTGCCTTTGAGTGGGTATTTATGTGATTTCATATCTAGATAAGGAGACTTGTTTGTGGATTGAGGTTTTGTATAAAAGTACGTGCAGCAATTCGATTGTTTTGATTTATTCATCTCTTGTTATTATTGCTATCGGAATTGCAAACTGGATGATGGAGATAAAATACGACTAATGGTATTTTTTGAATTCTTGCTGAGGAAAATACATGAACATTTATACACACTGCTTGGTTGCGGTGGGGAGTGGATAACGGGGACTAAACGACAAACGCGGGTCGTCATGTACAAACAGGAAATGGAGGTCGAAAAATATATTTGATATTTTTTATTATTATCTCGTTCAACGTAATTATGCATTCGGTGACACTAACGAAAATGATCGATTACTATTCCATCTTGTTGTGTTTGGTGTGTTTTTCCTTTGACCTCAGTGGCAGGTTGTTCGAGTGAAGAAAAAAGTCCCTCATTTTTTGAACATCCCGCGATAGAGGTGGGTGAGTGGTCACTTGTTTAGAACATCCCTTGGGGTGGGCAAGTGGTCGAAAAAGTCCTCGCCTCCGGGGAGGACGACTGCTTTGTTTCGAACATCCCTTGGGGTGGGCAAGTGTCAAGACCAAAGTCCCTCGTTTTTGGAACATCACGTGATAGGGGTGGGCGAGTAGTCGCTTGTTTAGAACATCTCTTGGGGTGTTCAAGTTGTCAAAAAATCCTCGCCTCTGGGCAGGACGACTGGTTTGTTTCGAACATTCCTAGGGGTGGGCAAGTGTCAAGACCAAAGTCCCTCATATTTGGAACATTCCACGATAGGGGTGGGCGAGTGGTCACTTGTTTAGAACATTCCTTGGGGTGGGCAAGTGGTCGAAAAAGTCCTCGCCTCCGGGCAGGACGACTGCTTTGTTTCGAACATCCCTTGGGGTGGGCAAGTGTCAAGACCAAAGTCCCTCGTTTTTTAAACATCACGTGATAGGGGTGGGCGAGTAGTCGCTTGTTTAGAACATCTCTTGGGGTGTTCAAGTTGTCAAAAAATCCTCGCCTCTGGGCAGGACGACTGGTTTGTTTCGAACATTCCTAGGGGTGGGCAAGTGTCAAGACCAAAGTCCCTCATATTTGGAACATTCCACGATAGGGGTGGGCGAGTGGTCACTTGTTTAGAACATTCCTTGGGGTGGGCAAGTGGTCGAAAAAGTCCTCGCCTCCGGGCAGGACGACTGCTTTGTTTCGAACATCCCTTGGGGTGGGCAAGTGTCAAGACCAAAGTCCCTCGTTTTTTACACATCCCGCGATGGGGGTGGGCGAGTGGACGCTTGTTTAGAACATTCCTTGGGGTGGGAAAGTTGTCTAAAAAGTCCTCACCTCCGAGCAGGACGACTGCTTTGTTTCGAACATTCCTTGGGGTGGGCAAGTGTCAAGACCAAAGTCCACTCGTTTTTGGAACATCCCACGATAGGGGTGGGCGAGTAGTCACTTGTTTAGAACATTCCTTGGGTGGGCAAGTGGTCGAAAAAGTCCTCGCCTCCGGACAGGACGACTGCTTTGTTTCAAACATCCCTCGAGATGGGCAAGTGTGAAGACCAAAATCCACTTTTTTTTGGTACATCCCGTGATAGGAGTGGGCAAGTGTTCGATCCTAGTGTTGGGTAGGTGAAGACATAGAGCCTATTGGAGACTTTGGAGGCAGGTCGATGATCTACTTGGTTTCTATTTGGTTTCGATTTTATCATATTTATGTCTCTGACCTCAGTGGCAGGTCGATGAAGTCTTCGGGGAAGGCCCCGATGATGGAAGCTCGTGCCAACTTGCTGGAGCAAGGGAACTCGAGCAAAAGGAAGCCCCTTATCAAAGGGAAACAGCAGCCTGCCAAAGTTTGGAAATTTACCGGCAATTGCCACAACTGTGGAAAGCCGAACCATATGGCAAAAGACTGCAGGAAGCCTAAAAAGGCTGGGCTGAAGAAGGCACAATCTAGTGCCCTCGTTGCTGAACACGGCCCTGTGCCGAGTGAACTAACCGACATGGATATGTCGGCTGTGGTGTTTGAAGCCAATTTGGTGGATAACCCAAGGGCGTGGTACATTGATACTGGTGCCACTCGCCACGTGTGTTCCGACAAGGGGTTGTTTTCTGACTACACTCCTTCAACTGGTCGGAAGCTCCACATGGGCAACTCCTCCTCGTCTGATGTGGCTGGAGTTGGCATCGTGGTGCTGAAGTTGACTTCTGGAAAGGATTTGAAGCTTAAGGATGTGCTGCATGTCCCAGACATCCGCAAGAATTTGGTCTCCGGATCTCTTCTTGTAGAGCATGGTTTTAAGTTGGTGTTTGAAGCTAAGAAGTTTATTCTTAGCAAGTTTGGTACTTTCCTTGGTCGTGGCTATCTCGACAATGGTTTATTTAAAATGAATGTAATGGCTGTGAGCCGTGTAACCGTTTCTACTGATAATGAAAATCGTACTTCTGTTTATATCGTGGAGTGTTCTGTTTTATGGCATATTAGATTAGGACATGTGAATCTAAATGCAATTAAACGGTTGATGAACTTAGAATTAATTCCTAATTCTAAAATTGAATCACACAAAAAATGTGAAATTTGTGTTGAAGCCAAAATGGCTAAATTGCCTTTTCACTCGGTGGAAAGAAATACTGAACCGTTGGGTTTAATTCATACTGATGTATGTGACTTGAAGTTTGTGCAAACAAGAACGGGTAAAAGATATTTTATAACTTTTATTGATGATTGCACAAGGTTTTGCTACTTATATCTTTTAAGAAGCAAAGACGAGGCTGTGGAAGCTTTTAAAAATTTTAAGATCGAAGTTGAAAATCAACTCAGCAAAAAGATTAAAATAATCCGAAGTGATAGGGGTGGGGAGTATGTAGCTCCTTTTGAACAAATATGTTCTGAATATGGCATAATTCATCAAACGACGGCCCCCTATTCTCCACAGTCAAACGGTGTTGCTGAACGCAAAAACCGGACTTTAAAAGAAATAATGAATGCCATGTTGATAAATTCAGGGTTACCCCAGAATATGTGGGGGGAAGCTGTTTTAACAGCAAATCATATTCTGAATAAAATACCACCTAAAGGAAAAAATGAGACTCCTTACGAATTGTGGAAAAATCGTAAGCCGTCTTATAAGTATCTGAAAGTGTGGGGGTGTTTGGCTAAGGTTTCAGTACCTGAACCAAAACAAATGAGAATTGGACCAAAGACGGTCGATTGTATTTTTATTGGATATGCGTACAATAGTACTGCATATAGATTTCTGGTTCATAAATCAGAAAATCTGGAGGTATCGGTTGGTACCACTATCGAGTCGAGAAATGTTATATTCTTCGAGAATATTTTTCCTCTGAAGGAAAGAGCAGAATCTAGTTCTAGCAAAAGAACGTATGAAACTGCTAGCGGTTCTGTACCAGATGGTACTGAAGATAAAGAAGAAGAACCGAGACGTGGTAAAAGGGTAAAAATGGCAAAAACGTTTGGACCGGATTTTATTACGTATATGTTGGACGATGAACCGAGTTCCATTAAGGAAGCTCTGTCTAGCCCAGATGGACCACTCTGGGAAGAGGCTATAAATAGCGAAATCGAGTCCATTATACAAAATCATACTTGGGAGTTGGTTGATCTCCCTGCGGGTTGTAAATCTTTAGGATGCAAGTGGATCCTAAAAAGAAAATACAAAGCTGATGGAACGATTGATAAGTTTAAAGCAAGATTAGTGGTCAAAGGCTTTAAACAAAAAGAAGGGTATGACTTCTTTGATACCTATTCACCTGTTACGCGTATATCGTCTATTAGAGTGCTTCTCTCGATTGCTGCTTTGCACAATCTTGAGATTCATCAAATGGATGTCAAAACGGCATTCTTGAATGGTGAATTAGAAGAAGAGATTTACATGGAACAACCCGAAGGATTTGTAGCACCTGGACAAGAGAAAAAGGTGTGCAAATTGATCAAATCCTTGTACGGACTTAAACAAGCTCCGAAACAATGGCATATGAAATTTGATGACGTAATGTTGTCAAATGGGTTCAAAATCAACGAATGTGACAAATGTGTTTATGTTAAGAACACATCAAACACATATGTAATTGTATGTCTATACGTAGACGATATGTTCATCATGGGGAGTAGCCATGAAGTGATCATGGATACGAAACGTATGTTGAAAAGAAATTTCGACATGAAAGATATGGGTGTAGCTGATGTAATTCTTGGAATAAGAATTATCAGAACCCATGATGGAATTGTCTTGTCACAATCTCATTACGTAGAGAAAGTGCTCAAGAAATTCAAAGCCTATGACGGTCCTCTGTCTAGAACACCCCTTGATCTTAGCTTAAATCTGGAAGCCAATAAAGGTCAACCAGTTGCTCAATTGGAATATTCAAGGATAATCGGGAGTCTAATGTACTTGACGAACTGTACACGACCAGACTTGGCCTATCCGGTGAATAAGTTAAGTAGATTTACGAGCAATCCCAGTCATGAGCACTGGAATGCTTTGAAAAGGGTACTGAAGTACTTAAAGTATACCCTTGAATACGGGCTAAAATACTCGAGATATCCAGCAGTACTTGAAGTGTACAGTGATGCTAGCTGGATATCGGATTCGAGAGATTCTCACTCCACAAGTGGATATGTCTTCTGTATCGGAGGAGGAGCTGTTTCGTGGAAGTCCACAAAACAAACTTGTATAGCTCGGTCAACCATGGAGTCGGAGTTCATTGCTTTAGATAAAGCTGGTGAATAAGCCGAGTGGCTTCGAAACTTTTTATCCGATATTACATGTTGGAATAAACCTTTGCCGCCTGTGATGATTCACTGTGCTAGCCAAGCCGCTATAGGAAGGGCGCAAAGTAACATGTATAACGGTAAGTCTAGACATATTCGTCGTAGACATAATACCGTTCGACAATTGATCACAAATGGTATTATTTCCATTGACTACGTAAAGTCTAAGGAAAATTTGGCTGATCCTTTTACTAAAGGATTGAATAAAGATCAATTGGGAATACTGCTAGAGGGAATGGGATTAAAAATCCACAATGAAAAGAATGATCATAGTGGTAACCCTACCTTGCTGAATGGAGATCCCATAAACTTGGTTCAAGGGGAAAACTAAACTATGAAAATTCAGCTGAGCACTTGGAACATTAGAATGTCCAAATCTATTCCCTAAAGCAATCCAAGTGCAAGATAACCTGTTGATTGTGGTGAGGGTAATTCATCTGGACTTTTAATGAATCCCTAACCTTTTAAAGGTAGAGTACTACAGGATACTCGTGATAGGGAGGTCACATATATAAGTGTGAAGTGAGGGCCGCTTCAATTGTAAATACTTATGAATCCAAAGCGTTGTCCATGGCCAAAACGGACACAACAATAGAACGGAATGGAGTTAAGGCTCTATTGTGTGAATGTCATTGTCTTGGGGTACACTATGGAGGAATAGTTCAAGGCACTATGTCCACTAAGCCGCCAGTACATCCGATGATGTTTACTAAGAGAGGTTCAAAGCCACAAGCTACCTTTTCTGATTCAATAGAGTCTTGTGAGGATTGAGCACAAGAGTCTGCATACATGCATACATTTGATTTCCACTCATGTGGGGGATTGTTGGAAAAATCAGTTATAAAACTTGGGTTTGACCCGGTTTTGACTGAATTTTAATGGCTAAATATTTAATTTGGGTTGAATTAAATATTGTAGAAAAATTCTACCTTCCGAGTTGATATTTGTGGTATATTTATTTTCTCAAAACTGATTTTCGGTGAGTAAGAAATAAATTGTTGAAGTTAGCCATAAAAGGGCACGTAAAACGTTGGTTGTGGGATTTGAAGGGTCAAGAGTCATTCCCACATTGGACTCTTAAATCTCTTTATTATAATAAAGAGAGTTGGAGAGGTTACAACAATCACAAAGCTATGTACCAAGTGTTGGTGTTGTTTTCGGCCACAAGCGCGCACGCACGTGCACCCGCCCGCCGGTCGGCCGACCGGATCGGGCTTGGGCTCGGGACCGGGCCTGGGACTTGGGCCTTGGTCCTTGGTCCTTGGTTCTTGGTTCTTGGTTCTTGGTTCTTGGTTCTTGGCAATTTGACTTTGGGCTGGACTTGGGCGGTTGGGCTTGGGCCTTGGGCCCAATCACTATATATCTTTTTGCTGCAAATTTATTTGCAAGTTTAAGCCCAACTGAAAAATCCAATTCTAGATTTGGACTCGGGTTTTGACCCAACCCGAGTGAGACCTCTCCAGGTACAATGAACCTGGACACATGTCTGTTCATGTGTAGTAACACCTGGTTAATGGCTGGTGTTAGCACCTGGTTAATGGTGGAGTAACACCTGAAACGTTTTCAGGTTAATGGTGCCTATTATTTCTGCCTTAAGTGGCAGATGTGACTGTTGGTTTCCCTCAACAAGTGGAAGTCCTATAAATAGGACTTAGAACTGCAGCGGAAAAGAGATAACATTTTTCATGCATTCAGAATACTCTCAAAGCCTCACGCATCATATCATAGTGCTCAGTTCTCGTCTTCGTTTTCGTTCGCTGGAACTCTGAAGGCTGGTGTGCTACAGTTTCCGAGTGTATTGCCGTTGTATCTTTGGGGACATTACGCACAGATTCGTCAGCACTATACGGCGTATTTGTCTTGCGGAAAGATTTCAATTGCCTCGGCTTTCAATCTGTCCGCGTTCGAGTTGTAATTTTTCTTTTGCTTTAGTTCTTCTTGTACGAACTGAACACTTCAGTCAGTTCATAGGTTCCCGTTGTAATCAAAACAGAATTTGTGTAACAAATCCATCCTCGTATGATCTGTTGTCGTGAAAGCTTTTCACCTCCACGTGCATAGGCTTAAATATGCTCTTAACACTTCTGTGGTAATAAATGCCATTAATACATCATTACTTTTTAAAGGATCACATGAAAGTTAAATGAAATTCTCCGCGTAGCTCTTCTTGATGGCATAACACGAATACATAAATGTTTTTCCACTTTGTAACACATGTTGGCTATTGGCTATATTGCTTATTTCCCGGTGCAACGCACAGGCATGATCTTAGTCAACAAATAAATGTAAAATGAGAGTAGTACATTTAAATCAATATAGATAGACATTACGAGGGATGCCAGGAACAAGAGAGAATGTGCATGCAAAAAAATTAAAAACGAAATCAAAACACATAAAAACATTGTTCAACCGAAGCCCACATAAGTTCACTAGTACAGTACATAATAAAGCGCCTGTATCTGCATACTGCAAGCAACATAATCCAGATACTAGTATTAAACATAATTTTCATAAATCAACTCAAGAAGCTCAATCTCCAGTGTCTGCATCCAGATTCTTTTTACCATGTCTTAACAAACAGGTTGGTGCTTCTTTGTCCTAGCAAGTTCTTCGCATGCACCTCAGATGGGAGTTTATTTTGTAGCTACTTTTCAGCTCGCTTCAGTGCTTTGCTTCTACCTGCATCAAAGAGAATAGCTCATATTATTTTTACCCAACAAGAACAAGTCTCATGTGTATCAGTAACTATAGCACAAAAAAATACAAAAAGAAACATAAAGGCAAGAATAAATTACGCATGTTTATTTTGGTCAAATATATTCCGAAGTTAGTTTCTGTCATAAACGCAACTCAATACCGCGTCCAATTAGAATGCATTTGGTGATGCCCCGGACAGGCTCTGTGGGTGCAGCTTTTGCCATTGGGTTCACAGGAGG